AAAAAACGGTGCTGAAGAACAACTTTTTCGCTGAACCTCTTACTGAAGCTTCAGTGCAGTACAAATAGAATGCAGAAGTATACCGGAAAGTCATCATTAAATCCCTTATTGTACCACACTACACGTTTACGCAACAATGCGGAGGTGATTCGAACGCCAAGTACTTTGAAATGCCTTTGCCAAAAATGGCTGACAAAACATCAGCAAACTCAAATATGCATGCATGCTAGTGGACGGTAATAACGCCATTGAGCATAATTAACAGCTTGACATTTTTTTTGACTGAAGCCCTTATCTTACGATTTTTCTTTCATAGCCAACCCTCTATCAATGGCTTACCAGTAACCTAGATAATAAATGTTCCCTTATTCTTATTTATACCCCAGTTTTTGTGCAGATTGCCTGACGTGAATAGATGCGTGGACAAGGCTAACAACCTAACAGAGTGCAACTGCACTTATCAAAACCAAAGTTATTGCCCCTCCAGCAACAGCTGCATACCGTTAGATAATTACAACGCCAGTGTCTGCTGGGAAAACGCAAGCTGTACTTTTGGTAAGTGCAGTATTTCCGCCATCTTTTCGGGTTTAACATTTACGTTATGCTTTATTCAACATAGGCAATAGACTGGACCAAATTTTCTAACCAATATAATGGACAAATTATGAGTGGTGTCATTTTATTCTATGCATTACAAAAAATTCATATAAAATGCAGCTTGTGATTGCCTTCACCTTCACGGTAGAGTTCACCATAACGTCATTTAATTCCAGTTTAGGGGGTAAATGCAAAGAGAAAAGAGTGAAAGCAACTAAAACGGACTGTGGAGAAACCTTTCTTTTTAAAGAAATTGGACATAGAAACCCCCCCCCAAAAAACGTCATTTTTAAAGATATCTCGAACTCGAAACATCCTTCTGCATCTCTTTATGATATTTAAATAACTGCCTGCTCACAATTTACGATGTAAAACATCTTATTTAATTTGCTTAATACAAAAATATATTTAAATATATCTTATTTAATATGCCATATTCAATCAGGAAAGGAACTACAATTCTATTCACAGTGACGTCATTCGATCACGTGGTTTACACAAGAAAGCTACAACGATGACGTGGATCATACATAAAAATTAAATAGAGGGAACAAAGGTTTCTAAAAAGCTATGATAGCCTTTGCCTCTAAGAGTGGTAAGAAATCCAAAATTTAGGGGGCTCCGGCTCATTAACAATAAGCCACAAATAAATGATGTCAATATAATGGTTCACTTTAAATCCCTTAGGTGGGATTCATTTGCAACATAAGCGTATGGCTGTCGCATTTGCCTGTTTAAATTTTTTGACTGCTTTTAGCTTTAAAGAAACAATCCATCCTTAACTACTTACATTGCAAGTTTCTCAAATGTAGGTAGTTGAACATTTTGTTTTTTCTGTTTATGTCTTTAATAGATCATTTCTTATTGTTACGGATACTGTAGTTTCTATTTTTGTTTTTGTTTTTTCAACAAGTTTCGTTTCGGTTATTTAAAAAAGTAACATAAAACCTGCTTTAGGTTACACTGAGAAACACTGAACTTCAGCTATATGCTTGGTTTCTTTTTCAGCAACAACAACATCCATGACCACAGTTGGTTCTTCAACTGCAAGTAACGTTACTAACGGTAAAAGGATTTGCATTGTGTTTTACAAAAAGGTTACACTGAGAAACACTGAACTTCAGCTATATGCTTGGTTTCTTTTCCAGCAACAACAACATCCATGACCACAGTTAGTTCTTCAACTGCAAGTAACGTTACTAACGGTAAAAAGATTTGCATTGTGTTTTACAAAAAGGTGTATTGGAGACTGGGTATTAGCTACTTGATTTCTGTAACAGCAGCACTGTTTTTAGATGGAGTACAGAACATTTCAAGTTATAGTGGGTGGGGGGAGGGGGTTGCTTTAGTTCCCTGTAGGTGAACTAGATCGACGCAATTATAAAAGGGGGGGGGGAGGAAAAAAGGTTATTTTTAGTAGCTAAGCTGGAGGTTTATGAAGGTGGCTTTGGGCTCCACGTCCGAGGAAACGAAAAGAAAGAAAAAAAGTAAACCCAAGAAACGGTACATTCCAACCCAACTCTTTCAAACTCTTTACCTCTTTAATCAAAGGAAAACAATCCGTTTAGATGAACGTTTTAACCTGAATCATAACATAAAGTAGAGGCCACCCCAAATCATTGTCATCTCGAAATTGTCACCTAGCCTAACCGCGAGGGACCCTAGAAACGAGGTTGCACCTAGCCCGGGCACCTAGCACAGCATACCTGTAAAGTTACACATCTGGTGCAATCAATATTTATCGAAGATTTCTTTTAAACTGCAGCGTCTGACACTGTACTAATACCAAGTGAAACAACAATACCAACATTGACAAGCAAACCTACCAAGTTCTATTCTCTCGACACCGATTACTCGCCGATCATTATAGCGGTGGCAGCGGGATTTGGAGGATTTATTGTTTTCGTGTGCTGTATGTGTGCCGTTCATTCTTGGTGGTTAAAGAGGAAAAAGTTCACAGATGTCAACAGCACACCATTGAGTAAAATAGAAAAAAAGCGAAGAAAAAAAGAGTTGCTAGAGGCCAGAATGCGAGAAGCATTAGGTAAAGATTTCAAATTATTACAAGACGGAAAAGGCCAGGGTGAAACGACGAACTTCAGAAGCGACGACCCTAATGCTAATGAAAGAGGATCATAGAGTTTGTTCATTAGCATAAGGTTCGTCAGATGTTAAATTCGACGTGCCAAGTTTGATATAAACGTACTATACGACGGGCTTCAGATCTTCTATCATCAGAACTTTCTGTGAGTGGCGGTTTTGTTTGCCGCTACAAATAAAGAAGCGGAAGTTTCTAACAATCGGAGGGTACTTTAGGGGCTTGATCTCTTTTAAAAAACAGAGAAAAAATAGTCAAAAAATCAAGAACGGTTTCAATGCCATTTTAGAGGTGCTGTTACTCTGGAATAGAAGTAAGGAAATAAAGTCCCAGAATTTTGTTTGTGATAAGAAAAGGTCAAAATACCAAACTGGACATTATTATTATTATTGTTAACATTATTATTTTTTTCATCAGAGGAAAAACGGCAAGGAAGAGAACCATCTAAATTTGACATGGCTTATACAAAGCCTCAAAAAGTCAACGAACGCGCTTTAGCCAATTACGACTGGGCAAGAACCTCGTACCTACCAGGCATGCTCGAGCCCACGGCTCACGACCAAAATCCCTCGGGATCAATCCCGAAACTCATCTGTGATGATGATGACAGTGACTTTGATGATCCAAATGAGTTGGGTGACGATAATATAACCTTCGAGCACGGGAAGGAAGACCCGCGAGAAGTAGAATCACCTTCGATGTCGTCGTTGTTTTCACCTGTGGACGAACTCGAGCCGCAACCACAGGAGCCCGTGATTGTCGAGCCTGAGATGTTTGATAGTCTGGCGGAAATTCCCCGCCCTCCCCCTGACGGTGATATGGTTGGCTCAAAAGGAGTCCCTCCCAGTCAGGATTACGTCACAATGATGGGAAGATTTTAAAGTATTTTGTAATTAACTCCATGCTTTCTTAATTCTTATAAAGTTGTTTGCTCTCCGGTGGAGATCTGAGTGCAGATGAGTAACTGGAGTATGTGCAATACGATTGACATAAAAGAACCATTAGAATCATGTCTGTAGATTAAATTTTTAACATCGAAAATAATGCCTTTTTAAACCCCCTCGCAAATAACCTATATACTGTGCAGGGACTCAAGTATTTAAATCGCACACGGCCAAACTTTACGTCCAATTTTTTAGACCAAAATAATCCCATATCTAAATATTACTGCAAAAATAGGTTGATTTATATCAGCGATTTTGAAGCCGTTCAAAAAACTCGCAGTCGTGTATTATCAGGTTTAAAAACTCGAGGCGAAGCCGAGAGTTTGTAAACCTGATAATACACTCCTGCTCGTTTTTATTGGGCTGCCCTTTGGGCAAAGCCCAATCAAAAATTGGAGGCCGCCTCGCCTGTGCAGGAAAAAGACAAAATGGCGGACTGATAAGGTTTCCAGTCCCTCCTCCCCTACGTTGTTGCTAATCTTTTGATTTTTGAGGGGAAGGGGTGGGTAATTTCAGATAAAAATCATGGTAGCTAAGGGGGAAAAAAAATATTCTTGTCTGAAGTTATGTTAAGTCCTACGTTATCGCTCAAAAAAAACAGGCAAAATTGATCACGTAGCAAGCCTTTTGTAAAAAGGGACGATCGATTGCGTTTGAATAAAGAACATGTTCATTGTTATTGAAATATATTAGACTAATAAATTCTGGGTATCATTTCTTGTTCGAACATGCTCGAACACCACTTTGCATTGCAAGTGGAAACTAATTTAAACTTTAACTTGCTTGTAAGAAAACTGATACCCGTATTAATTGGTAGTAACAAGTAAAAATATAGTACAAGAACTTAAATTTCTTTAGTTTATATTTGTAGAAAATGTTCATCCAAGCATATTTCGTGGCACGGCCGGGCATAGCAATTATTCGCGGCATTATTGTAGGCTCAAAAAGTTAAGAACCAAGGCATGTTGTGATAACAAAGTCTTTTAATTTAATGGTTTGGTGCATCGACTTTTAGCAGCATCGTGTAATTACTTTTACTTTGTAATATTAAAAAGACTGGTTACTGAAACACCTGTTAAATATTTAAGATTAAAATTAACCACTTTTTTCCTGCCTAAATACCATTAGTTTAACCTGTTTCCTTTCCTACCGGTTTTATTGATATCACGCAAAAACGTTATATTAAAAGAATATTTAACATAAAGAGTGCAATTAACAAGCTTTTATTTTAATTTAGACTCTAGATTAATAACGTGTTTGTTTTTGTTTTATTTTTTCACAATGGAGCCATTTATTTATAACTACCAGAGAGAATGAAATCCATTTTTTGTTCCTGTACACTGCACTAGGATTATTGAATTTGACAAAGACACGAAAATGGATTTGATTCTGAAAGTTACAGTCAAATGATTCCATCTTGCAACCGCTTATCTTAACTACGCTCCTCACAGGTTCAAGATGACGTCGCGGAGCCTTGAGCCTTCCTTGCGCCCATGTACAGTTTGATAAGCTCCCCCACGAATAAGTACTCCTCCAACTAAACTCTAGCAAATAAGAGTTCCCTACCATTTTATATATTCACCGAATTTCAGTTCGTTGAAGAAAATCTTTCTAGGAGTCCCTCTCGCGTCCCCCCATTGGAGAGGTTACCCCACTTTGGCGGATATTCAAATAAGTTTACAAGCGATAAGAATGAGTCTTATTCATCCGAGGAACATAAGCAAGAAAAAATGGCAATGCAAGCGAACGCATGTGCTTTTTTAATAGAGGATGTTAGCATCAACAACGAGTACGAGTACGAGTACGAGAACGACTTCAAGCCGTACTCGTACTCGAAGTCGTTTTCTCAGCTTTCTATGTTAGCGATGACACCATAGTTAATTGAGTGGAATGGTTATGAAACCCGTCAGACTCCTTTGTTATATGTTTTTGTGGACCTGAAAGTGCACAACGTTCAAAAGAATTCCTATCATTTTGATTGTATTGACCAATAAAAACGTTCCATTAATTTATTCCGTAACAATTTGCCAACAGAAAACAAAGGATTGTGCACTTTCACGGTACTTCCAACATAAACTGCAGCACTGTTGTTTTTATCATTGATGTTTGCCGCTTTTCATAACCAGTCTCCTCTAATAACTATGATGACACCGAGTTCGAGTTTATAGAAAATAAAATTATGGGATTCCGCATGACTGGGCGCCAAATTTGAGTCGAGGTAGCGCTTCCACAACAATTTCGAAAACAAAAAATGACTCTTAAAAATTTAACCTAGGTTAAAACCGATTTTTCGAGGTAACTCGAAGGATGGTTAGTCGCGGTCTTAAAACACGTTAAAACCCATCAAATTCAACACAACAACCACACTGGATAAAGAAGTAAGTGTTCTTTATTGATATCTTCGACTGTTGGGATATTTTCGACCAAATAATGGCAATTTTAGGAGTTATTTCGTGAGCCTGTGAGGCCTGTGGAGAGACATGAAACTTTCCCGGGTAAATGCAAATTTACTCTGTGTAGGAAATATCGCGTTCGGTTGCTTTTTCTCGACTTCAAAAGCAGTATTTTACATAAAACATGGTATAAGGAAGGTTCAAGATGATAAAGAGAGGCAAGAAACGAAAAGAAACTGCATTAAACGATCGGAATTTACCTTTGAAAACCAGCTCTTCCAAGTCGTTCTACCCACTTCGAGTTTTTGGTCAGAACTCGTCGTAGTGCAACTTGACAGGACGACTTGAAAACGTGGAGATGCGCAGAACGGATGCGCAGTAAGCAAAATCGCTGATCTCGTTCTAGAACTCGTACTCGTTGTCGATGCTAACATCCTCTAATATCTTAGATATCACGACCGTGAGGGTAGTAAAAAAGTCACTTACAAATAAACGCAAGTACAAACAGATTTGTGCAGCTTATGGCGTTACACCTGCAACCTTAAATACGGGTGCGTATTAAAAATTGGCGTTTGCACTGTAATATGAATGAAACGAATGACTGGTGAATTCTACTGCTTATTGCCTTTAAGTTCATTTAAACTTCAAATACAAACGTTATCAATCTATAAAAAACCTAACGCCGAATATTTAGTACCTTTACTGTGTCACAGAGTGCAGAGAAATATTATTTGATCGTTACATTCTGATTAGATTCGCCACGAACTTGAAGCGCAAACCGATCTTTTACCTACAGAGATTTTGACCAGATTAAGGATAACTAATCCAACTGACCAGTTTCGAATTATCAACATACTGATTGTTGACTTTAAGAATGATAAGAACAAAAGAAATGAAATGAATTATTCATCCATAAATCAAAATGCAATTTCTTATTTTTTTTATATCCCTCAGTCTCGAAGTCAAGTACTGTATGAATTTTAATAATTCGAAACTACAACATAGAACTGAGGCAACTGTATTGCTGTGTACAGGGAGTGAAACGACGCGTTCATAGCCTGTTCCAGGAAGAATAGAATAGCGCAAAACAGAGGGAATGATTCGATTTTCTCCTCTCTTTTTCTCCCTTCCGTTTCTTTTCCTCGTTCGCACATCGCTTCTCCATACGAACGCCCGGTAAGGGTTAACAACTTTCCCCAAATACGACAGTTGACTTACACTTAAATAAGACTCCTCTGCGTTCTGTATCAATGATAACTTCAATTTAATTTTAAGTATTTAAATTTAATCTTTATTAAAACGTTGAGTGCAAATGTTAAAAAAAAAATCTTCAGCTTGTTCAGCGAACAAGCGATACTGCACAGTCACCTCAAAACTTTAGGAATAAATTGGAGCTCCAGGCAGCGGTGTATCAGCTTCATGTAGGCAGAAAAAAAGAAGCGCAAGGTTACTTCATTTAAAAAATTTCTTTTATTTCGGTAGAAAACAGCCGACATTTCGGGAGGCCACCACCGGTTTAATTTCGCTGCGAGATGACGTCTGAGAAAAGTAGAAACGTTGAAGCTGATTGGTCGTGCCGCGGAGGAATTTGCTTTCATCCATCAGAAGCATTACCTAGGTAGTGACATGTCTTCAGTATGGAATTTCAGTCTATTGTCGTTCCTCAGAACGTCCTTTCGCACGGAAACCAGTAGTGACCTTCCGAAATGTCGGCTGCTTTCTCAGGCTCTTATTTTAGCGTACGTTTGGGCTAGATATCTTTTTAAACTCTTTAGCAGTTTATTTAAGGTGGATTAATATCATTTATTATTCATTCAAATTTTTTCCCTGAGGCGATTCTGATTGGCTAAAAGCACACGCATAATTCACCATAACCAGGCACTGATGACCAAATTTGGAAGAGTTTTGCAACCAATGACGTCAAAAGTGCAGCTTCCTTGCTGGTTAATGCATCGTTAACCGAGAAGACCTGGGGACGAGGTTGAGTTGTTTTGGTTGTGAAAACAAAAATCGCGGACATTTCACTAGTTTCAAGAGTAAGAACAAGGCGAAATAATAGCTAAAAACATGGCAAGAACAGCAAAAAGGCAAGTCGAACATTGAAAAATAACAGGAACAAAGCTTTTAATCACGATATACTGCAAATGTACGGGCGAGATTGGATAAGATTTGACCAAAACGAAACAAAATTTCACTCATAAACCACTTGTTGTAGCTATGAAAATAAACTCATTTTTCCAGACTTTATCTCTATTTTCCAGACTTTTTCCAGGTCTGGAAAATTGCTGGGAAAATTTCAATACGTTTTCAAGAATTCAAGACTCTGTACGACCCCTGCGAGATGTAGAGGGAGTTGACGGCCAACCACCAATGATGTCTGTTTTCATGGGGCTTTATCTGTCAGCTTAGCCTCAGCTTTTACGTAAGAAGGTTGCCTGTTATTAAACCGGAAATATCATTTAGAGTCAGAAATTATAGCCTACCTTCTCTGCGGCAATCAACCATTGGGTATTCACTGCCCCTGCGTTCCTCTGTAGAAACATTTTTTTAAACAACTCGTTAGAACAATGATCTCAGCATGAGAGGCAATTACGTATTAAATAAAGGGCAAATACTTGGATCGGCATACTGTCCCTTACATCGGTCTCTAACTATGGCATGGCGACTAGGAGTATTCAACTTACCGTTAACTCTCCTTATGCGGTTGTATCGACGCACTTGTGGTTTTTCTCAACCGATGATAAAATTCACATTCATACATTTATACACTCTTTACAGGTGTTTAAGACACCTGAGGAGGATTATGAGGTTATCCCTATATTAAAATCTCTCACCCCACCCAGCCCAGGAAAGTTGGCCACATTTCCAGGGTCTCCTACTCTCTTCGAACAGTGGTATGGGTTCTTTTACGTCTCAAAAGGACCAGATAAGTGAAAGCGCTGTGCGACGGGACCTACGATTTTTCGTCCTTATCTGAGAGACTAGAAAGTCTAACCGCTTGCAGATGTCATTACAAACGCAGCCCTTTCTTCTCAGTTATTTAAAGACGCTGAGTGTTGGTTCGGGCGGGGTTTGAACAACCGACCTCCCGCTCAGCAGACCGGCACTCTCCCAACTGAGCTAACCAGACGTCGGTTTACCAATGTTAATGGGCGTGTACAAGATATTGCACAAGCTACGGCCGGAGGGAAAGCCGTGCTGCAGCTCAGGTGGCGACGTCACCGGAAGTGATTTTGATCTTATCGAAGCACTCCTCTCCGTCGCAAATCTTTAAGTCCATACTGTTATGTATAACCCATTATTATTACCAGTGTATTGCCCGTATTGTTGCCAACGTAACATATAAGCCACTAATGCCCACAATAAATACAAGTTTGTATCAGGGACACCTAATGCCTTCTAACGACGCGAGCTGTATGTTATAAAAATTTAAAAAATAATAAAATGAAAATAAAAAATAAAATAAAGAAAAATTAATAACAGTAAAGAAAAAACAAAGAACAAAGGATAACACCCATTCTGATAGCCTTTAGACTTTCAAAAAAGTCCTTCGTCGGATTTCGCTCCGCTCGCCAAGTGGTCGACTTGTAGCAAGTCTAGATAGCCTTCTTCGTAGATGTAATTTAACCTCGGTTAGTAACGTCCGCGAAGCAGCGCCGATATCCTTGTTCTGGGCACCCAGCGGACTGAGCGAATTACCGGAAGTGCGTTTTGAATTTCCTTTCATCTTGATTGGCAAATCTACAAAGGCTTTTTTAGCTGGCCAGTCATGGCGCATACTCAAATCCTGGTACACAGCCGGGAGGCCAGAACAAGGACTTCTCGCTGTTTCGTAGACCGACTTAACCAGAGTTTAGTTTCGTCTGTGACGCAGGCTACCACAGTGACCATATGATGGAATGAACAGTATGTTGCCGCCATGAATCAAAATTATACAAAAAAGGTCTAGTACATACCTTTCCGTATTTCTTTTTGTACATCTTTGTTCTCGTAACCTTAAACAGAACGACAGTCAATAAATATTTAATTTTTCTTTGACTCCTGTGCAGAGTATTTAAGTTAGTGAAAAGAGAAAAGTAATTGAAACCGCCCTTTGAACGTAAAGTTATGTTTTCAGGACGAACAATGAAGGCACAGTCGCCTCTCATTTTAGTAATCAAAATGAAATCTGAAAAATAAAAATTGTGAAAACCTACCACAAGCGCTAAATCTAACAAATTTTAGTCTAGTAAAAGGGGACTAATAGGTCATTTGCATGATGACGCCTTTTTGGTTACTAAGACTTTAAATTTGGTAATCCCAGCGAGGTTTAAGTAACAAAAGCCCTAATTTGCACAAGAAAAAAAAACCCTGAAGGATTATGGTCGTAGTCCTGGGTAAAAATGACGCCCTCCTACAAATGGCCTATTGTATTGTGATTAAAATGACTGAATACATCTTTGACTTACGGTGCAATTCTAACTTGCAGGACAGAAAGATAGAAATTGATAAAACGTAAAATTACAGCGAGATCTCAGATTTTTTTCACCAATGACAGTATAGTACTTGCAAATTAAGATGAAACCTTTGGGGGAAAGATCTGTCTCAACTAGTGCCATACGAAAAAACCTTTTACCAGTAAGAATAAGTTGATTTACTTAATTATACGTTGAAAGACCTGCGCTTGTTTCTAAAGTAGCAAGTTTGGAATTGAAGCAGTAAATATAATTTTCGTACAATATCAACACAGGCACATCTTTAAAACTGGCATAATTACCGGATGCTTGCAAAGAGAAGACTGGTTTATGCAGATCTTTTTCAGAGCCGCCAACTTTAGAGATTTTATTTCGTTTGTTGAGGAATAAAATGACCCCAGTGACCAAGATTGCCAGGCCCACAAGCGAACCCAAGACAATTGCAAGTAACACGCCCATTTTGAGTTCCGAGGAGGTCTCGGACAGAACGGGATCTGTGGCTGGTATAGAGGCCTGAGAAGGAGTGAATGGAGTCGAGGAGGACTGGAAGGAAGTCGCATCTGCAAACAAAGTCCGTCCGTCTGCCAAAGTCACTGAGAAGTTTCCATTCACGACCAGCTGCCTTAGCGCTGAAGCGGCTGTAGTAACGTCAGTCTCTCCAGGTCCTCCCGGTATCAACGTGAAAGAGACCAAAATGCTTCCTGGTCGAACATCGACGTTTTTTAAACGAGATGCGTTGACGTCCATTATGTCAGCAAGAGCCTGTACTATAATGACGATTAATGCTTGTTTACTTGACTCGGTACTGATGTGTGCTCCGTATTCAGCAACAAGTTTAATCTGGATATGAACAGCTTGGTCTTCCGCCGGTGTGGGTATTTCAGAAGAGGCAGATTGAGTGGTTTGAGTAGCGGGCATGATGGAGGAATTAACAGCAAATACTGTCATGAATCCCAGTGAAGATGATTTACAGTCCACAGAAGCACCTCCTTTACCATTGTCTGGAATGAGGGTCGTACTAACGCCATCGGTTTTCCATGACAAAGACGAGACATCCCAGGTGTGGCACTAAAAAAGCAGTGATAGAGAAATCACTTAAACTAGAGTCAAACCCGCTTTAGGGACACCCGCCCAATACGATACGGACATCTCATTATGACGGACAGTTTGCTTAGTTCCTGGGGAAAGAAAGCCTTCACATTTTCTCTAAATCCAACCCGCCTAATACAGACACCCCATTGATATGGACACTTTCTTTGGCCCCCCTTGGTGTATTATAATGGGGTTGATTTTATAAGGGAATGAACAATGCAGTGAAACCTCCTTACGACTTTAAACTAACAAATATATATAAGCTGCAATAGAAAGGCGTCAGATTAGGTCCATTACGATACAACATGAAACATATTTTCAAAAGTCCGAAAAAAACATAACATGCTAAACTGCTTGTTACTTTGAAAAATTCGGGAAATGTCGATGGCGATTCTTTGCTTATCCTAATGTACAAGCTCTAAATCGCCGATTAGGAGTAGTGTATGACGGATGCTTGGGTAACTTTAATTGATGGGCTGAGATCTGGTTGGGCAAACCGGTTTTGGAACTGTAGTTTCCCGGGTAAACCTGCTTTGGGGTGGGACAAACCACTTTGGGGGATAATGAGATGCAGGGCATGGAGGTACATAAAAGAAAAACAATTAAGACTTTGTCGTAGGAGGTTAAAAATAATAACGAGTTGCAAATTGTTCTTACCTGAGGGGGTGAAGACAATAACGTAGGCGTCTGATTCTTTTAATGATGAGGTTTAATGTCGATTTTGAATAACGCTTTTACATATACAAGGAAGGCTTGCAAGGTCAACATAAAAAGACCACTAAGGCATCAAATGAAAGGTACCCGCCAAAAGGGCCGATATATGCAATCCACCGTACCAAAAAAGATGGCGACTGGTACATTTACCCACAGTTCTTAGCGCATGAAAACCATAAAATTGCTCATAAAAACGCACAGAAAAAATTTATAAACCTAGGATAGGCAATGTTGCTATTACAGGGACGAACTTCGCCCCCCCCCCCCCCCCCCCCCCCCCCCCCCCCCCCACACACTTTCTTCACGCCCCAAACAATATACACGCCCCCCTTTTTTTTCCTCTCGTGTGTTTGTTTTTTTTTTTTTTTCATTTATCAATAAAAAAAAAAATTATTTACAAAAAAATAAAATATATTAAGTTTTCTACATTTCTTGATTTTCTCTGTTTTTTATACTCGTCTCCCGCAATAATATTATATAAAAAAAAAAAACCCCCCCCCCCACCCCCCCGCCAAATATGACTATGTGTAACTGGCCGTAAAATTGTACTGCCGCCATCTTTTTCCGTACGGCGGATTGATTTCATATGCAGTTCAACTCAGTAAACTTAAATCGATGATCTCGAAAACATGTAAGATCTGTTAGAGCCTTTCAAATCTCTTGAGAATTCGCAGTGCTCAATTTCAGGCCTTAAGAAATACTTTCCACAAAAAGAAAGTTTTATTGGCAGATATTTGTGGAAAATGAATAGTTATGTAGAATTATTAGTACACTAAGAGTTTCATCACCAGGAGATGTAATTCTAATTACAAAATATAAATGATGACTTGTTTTTTTTTCAGTTAACCAAAAAATCAAGTCGAAAATTGTAATTCTTAGCTTCTTAGATAAATACTAGAACTTACTAGAATGAAAGAAATATAGAGAATGAAAGAAATATAGTAGACACACTCGTAATTACATATATGGCTATACGGATAACGGTATAGTCTCCTTCGTCTTTTGCATCACATAATATAGTTCCAAGAGCTCTTCTGCTCTTTAAGAAAACGTAAAGGAAAAGGCGCAATTTATAAAAATGCAAGCGTTATAACATACAAAGCCTACTAGATCAAAATATAAACAGAGATCTGATCCAAGGAAACTGTTTAAAGTGCACGTCAAGGTTGAACCGAGCCAATGAGGCCACTAAATGTGTTCATTTGAAATTCAATTCTGAATACTTAACTTATAACGAGTGGCTGAAACAGTGTATTTTTTCACTATAAAAAAGCAAGTTCATAACGCGATGATCGCTTACAAGAAAAAAAACAGCTCAAACAACTCACTGAAAACTTCATGGAGGTTAACGGGAAAAAGCAAACAAACAAGAATGGTGCTAGTTACTTATATCTGAGGTATGGGTTCCTTGGAGCTGCTCTGAGCTGCTCAAAAGTGCTCCCTGTTTACTCCGTGTTGCTAGGAGCTGCAGCTCTTTAATTACCACTCGCACGCCGTGGTAACTTGATGAAAGTTAGATAGGATTGAGCAAACAAACATCCCTCTTTTAATTTATAAGTTTGAGTCACTCTGGAAGGAATTCTGGGACCAATTTCAACTAGCGTTAGTCACAAACGGTTTTTTTATACGACATAAGCTAGTTCAACCGGTTTATCAGGACTTACACTAGTTATCTGAAACCTAATTTACACATAGGGCATAAGCTACGTATGTAAGGCGAGCGGATGGAAACAATTTACTTGTTAGAAAAAAGGAAAACATTAAAGCTTTCAAGAGTAGATTAGAAAAAGGGAATAATTAAGGCAGAATGGTCAGAAGGCATAACCTTGGTTTTAGGGCGTACCTCTTAATTCCTGACAGAAAACCGAGCCCTTAGAACAAAGTTGCTGATCATGAATGCAGGGCTATATATTCGCACTTCATTAAATCTGCAGTATTTTTCGCATTACCTCGTTTTTAGCTTCTCTGTTTGACCTGTATCGAATGTGATTTGTGATGCATTCTTATTCGACAATAACAAATGCTTTCGATCAAGGCAGACCGTTGATGACAAATGCCCCGCCTTGGAAACACTTGAACTGATTTGACTGGACCATTGATGTATTACAGAAAAAATATCCCAAAAAATATACAAAGTAGTCAAGGTGAAAAAAGGCGAATTAGGTTTTTCTACAGACATTCCTTGGGTCAAAGGCGCAAAGATAATGGCCGTGTCACCGAAAAAAGAAGGAAAAAGCCACTATATTGAGACCAAAAAATTAATTTTTAATCCATGGTAAACTGTAATTTTAATCTTAATTTGAATGGGTATTATATTTATCGGTAAGTCGGATTTTTAAGAAGATGCCAATCAAACGCGTTCCCCTTTTCTTTATTTATGCTTTGCAGCAATATTTAAAAAATAGAAATTACATTAAATTCTTTAAAGAAATTACGCTTGAATGAAATGCGGAAGACAGCCAATTAATTCAAGGTAAAAATAAATGTAAATGAAAGTTTTTCTGGTGATAATTGTGTCGCAATAACGAGCATCTCCAACTCTTTTACATCCCCAAAAACAAAAATATGCCTATTGCACGCAAAGAAGACTTGATTGAGCCAGGACTTTTTCGTGAAAGCAGTTCAGATACGTGTGAACAAATTTCATGCTGGATGCACATTTAGGAAGGAATAATTTTAAATAATAACGCCGAATCAGTCGACAGGTGTTTGAATGTTAACTTTTCTCATTATTTTCCATTCTAATTCAGGCCTTCCGGCCAATTAACCATGCCAATTTCTCTTAAAGCATCAGTCCAGCAATACTTAAAAACATTCTCAACATTGTTGCTAACTCTCAATGTTTACTTTGTAGAAGAATATATAAGAGACATCGAGATGCGTAGTATCAGATAATATCAATCTGATATCAGTTACTTGATGGACAGCCACGATGCATGAACGCCAACTGGAGAACTTTATAAGGAAACCTTTCCCCAGTCAAGGTAAAACCCTGATGTCCTTATTACTAATTTGAAATTCTCGTTTTAGTGTAAGGTAAATTTATATAAATAAATATTATAAGCCAAAAAATCACTGCCACGAGAGAAGAAAGGCTGTGTAAAAATCTCTTAGCCGTGAATTTCGCCTTCACTCAAATTCTATTTTTTTAAAGTAATATCTAGATCGAGTCCGTCAGTACATAGTGCTACTCGCGCATTTCCTTCATATCGCAAAAAATGTAAGAAAAAAGTCTCAATTTTGATTTTGCTCAAAATTGGCTTGAATGCTACTAGTTATAACCTTAAGGAAACATCGTCGGAAAACTGGACTTTCTTTACTGGAATTTTGGAAATGGGTCAGGTAAAAAGGGTTCGATAATAAAGGTTATGGGTTCATTAAACTGGAGCGGCATTCAACGCCCTCATTTTTAACCACTCAGAATGGAATTCCTACGCTCTTTTTTTTTCCCCAGGTTAGAATCATGGTTGCGCAAAACTCCAGCCAGTTTGCCTACGAAGCGTGCCTAATTGCGCTAATCTTCCAAGAGATGTTCAACAGCAGATACTTAACATTGGCAACTACTCTTTCCACCGTTCAGTCTATGGCCGCCAAACTTACTGAGTATTGATGGCCATGTTTTTTTTTAATTTGCATTTTTTTAAAATTGTCTATTATTCACGAAAACTTCCTCCTTCAAAAAGTTAACGGCACGTTGTCGAAATAGGGTAGTTGCGGATGCGTAAGATCATAAAGACACTGAACTTGCCCTTTTTAATAGTTACATAGCAAAAAATGGCTCATACCCAGTTCTTTTATTGATTAACAGAGCTATTTACATAACAGAAAGTACTTTTAAAAGTGTTGACAGTAAATTGCTCATCAACTGGTGCGCGCGCACAGAAGTTATGTTAGTTTGACCGAGGTGCCTGTAAGTGGTAAGTTTACATGACGTATTTATTTACAGTCGTGATATGTTCAAATTGGGGGTTAAGTTCTAATTTTCCGTCGAGAATTCCCGTCACTATTATATGGGAGTCCACCCACGGGGTGTAAAAGCTGATAAAATCACTGTCCGATTATTATTGCTGCGTCGGTGCTGTTCCTGCTTTTGTGAGGATACTTCGGTGGTTGTTCAGTTGTGTGAAAAATATTATGGCTTTCTGGCGCCGTTGTTGTTATTATTATTGTCATATGATCCCGGCTGTACTTGCGGAAGGCATTTAAACAAATCTCTTACAGCTTTGCTTATCTTTTTAGAACGACCGAAGTTCAACAAAGGATTTAAAACTCCATTTAAGTGCAAAAAAATCAGGTAATAAGGTCGAAAAGGCAGAAAATTCTTGAATCCTTTTATGAATAAAACTGCTGGGAAAATAAACGAAGGGAAATAGGTCAATACAAAATTCAAAAGGATCCAAGCAACTGTGTTAGCTAATCTCTTTTCCCTTTTCAAAAGGGAGTCATTTGGATTTCCTACTACAACAGTTTTTCGAAAATACATGCTAAGATAGCAGAATATTATGATAATTGCATAAACAACAAAAAGAACTACACTCAGAATAGCTCCAATAGGTCTATAGACACCTCCCAAACTTGGAGAAAAGTGAATTGCAAATACAGTTATCACACTGGTCAACCAGGGTACACATACTGCCTTAAAAGCACGCTGATTCTTTACGTGATTACGATACCACAACGGACTTCGGACTGCCAAATAGCGATCTCTACTGATAACTGCTAGGTTACCGAGCGTTGCATAGCTGCAAAAAATACTAAAGGCGTACTGGAGCGGTTGAGATTTTTGACACATGTGTTCGTGTGTGAATATTTCTATGTATCTGTACATAGAAAACAGAGAAAATATTACGTCAGTCACTGCCAAACTGCACATCATAAGCATCGCGGGATATCGAAGAGATCTTGTTCTTGCCACAGCTATAATAACAAGCGTATTAAAAACAAATGACAAAAAAGCCAGACTAAAATTTAGAGGACGGAAAACGTAGTTGCCAGTGTTAAGTATGTGGTGTTGAACATCACTTGGAAGATCAGCAATCAGGCACGCTTCGTAGGCAAACTGGCTGGAGTTTTGCGCAGCCATGATTCTAACCTGGGGAAAAAAAGAAGATCGTGGGAATTCTATTCTGAGTGGTTAAAAACTAGTGCTTTGAATACCGCTTTTAATGAACCCATAACCTCTATTATCGAACCCATTTTACCTGACCCATTTCCAAAATCACAGTATCTCGAGTGGCGATCACTCGTGGTTATCTAGAAAGTCCAGTTTTCATACGAAGTTTGCTTAAGGTTATAACTAGTGACATTCAAGCCAATTTTGAGCAAAATAGTCTTTTTCCTTACATTTTTTTCGATATGTAAGAAATGCGCGAGTAGATAGCACTATGTACAGACGGTTTCGAACTAGATATTACGTTAAAAAAAAAAAAAAATTGAGTGAAGGCGAAACTCGCGGCCATACGATTTTCTGACAGCCTTTCTTCTCTTGTGGCAGTGATTGTTTGGCTTATAATTTTAATTTATATAAAGTTACCGTACAATAAAATGAGAATTGGAAATTATTCAAAACGACATCAGGGTTTTACCTTGACTGGGGAAACGTTTCCATACAAAGTTCTTCTGTTGGTGTTCATGCATCGTGGCTGTCCCTCAAGTAACTCAGGTGACTGATATCAGATTGATATTATCTGATACTAAGTATTCTCGATGTCTCTTATATATTCTTCCACTTAGCAAACATTGAGAGTTTACAACAATGTTGAGAGTGTTTGCAGGACTGATGCATTAAGAGAAATTGGTTAATTGGAAGGAATATGAATGGGAAATAATGGGAAAAGTTAACATTTAAACATCTGTCGACACATTCTGCGTAATGTTTTTAATTGTTCCTTCCTAAATGTGCAGCACGAAATTCGTTCACACGTTTCCGGACTGATTTCATTAAAAAATCCTGACTCTCTCTATCCCGTAGTTTATCAAAACAAAAATCCAGTTTTCTTTGCGTGCAATGGGCACATTTTTGTTTTTAGGGCCGAAAGAATAGTTGGAGATGCTCGTTATTTTAGACACGATTATCACCAGAAAAACTGTTATTAATTTAATTTTTTTACCTTGAATTAATGCAATTTTTAAGAACACCATGACACTTTTAAGTTTGAGGAACATGTTTCGATGTTTCAAACATCATCTTAAGCCATACAAGGTATAATACTAATGGAGTAAAGTATATCGATATATATATAACTATCCAAACAATGATTGCTTATAAATTCAAAATTCGTTACACATATTAAAGCTAGCCAATAATATGGAAAGAAAACTAAACGAACTATAACGGTAAGTAAAAAATTTAAAATGTAATGCTAAATTAGTAGAATCAGCCAATAATGTGAAAGAAAAGTAAACGAACTACAAAGGTAAACAGTAATTTAAAAATGTAATGCTAAACTTACATGCTCAATTTGCTCTTTAAGTTCAGGTTTCACATGTTCAATATGAAAGCTCTCCTTGACCATAAGTTGATAATAAGAACAAGCAGTGTCAATAATTTCAAAGTAAGAGACTCCACATTTATCTTTACAATTCTTAGAACTCTTGAGATGCTTGAAAATGTGGGAATTCCTGTCCCGAAAAAGGTGCTCCTTAATACGAGTGTTAAAAAGTTTAATGGATTTGCTATTTTTTAAATAGTGCCGCAAAGCATAAAAAAGGGGGAGGATCGCGTTTGATTGACGTGTTCTTAAAAATCCGACTTACCGATAAGTATAATACTGATTTAAACTTAGATTAAAATTACAATTTACCATGAATTAAAGATTTTTTCGACTAACTATAGTGTCTTTTTCCTCTTTAATTTTTTTCTTTTTTTCTTTTTTCTTTTTTGGTAACACAGCCATCATCTTTGCGCCTTTGACGCAGGGAATGTCTGTAGGAAAACCTAATTCACCTTTTTTCACCTTGAGTACTTTGTATATTTTTTTGGATATTTTTACTGTAATTCATTAATGGTCCAGTCAAATCAGTTCAAGTGTTTCCAAGGGGGGGCATTTGTCATCAACGGTCTGCCTCGATCGAAAGCATTTGTTATTGTCGAATAAGAATACATCACAAATCACATTTGATACATGTCAAACAGAGAAACTAGAAACGAGGTACGTTATAGTGCGAAAAATACTGCAGATTTAATGAAGTGCGAATAAATAGCCCTGCATTCAACAACTTTGTCCCAAGGGCTCAATTTTCTGTCAGGAATTAAGAGGTACGCCCTAAAACCAAGGTTATTCCTCCGGACCATTTTGCCTTAATTATTCCCCTTTTTTAATCTACTCTTGAAAGCTTTAATGCCTTCCTTCTTTTTCGAACAAAGTAAATGGTTTCCATCCGCTCGTCTTGCATACGAAGCTTATGCCATATGTCTAAATAAGGTTAACGATAAATGTATGATAATGTAATTTCTTGATAAACCGGTTAAAATAGTCTATCTTGTAAAAACGAAACCATTTTCGACTAACGCTAACTGAAATTGGTCCCAGCATTCCTTCCCGAGTGACTCACCCTTAAAAATTAAAGAAGGTTTTTGTTTGCTCATTCCAATCTAACTTTCATCGATTTACGACGGCGTGATAATAACACATTTTTGTCAATTCTGTCAGAAAACATTTAGCCGTAAGTTCAACAGAGATCGATATGAGACAGTGGTTGTCCCAAAACATTTGATGGCGAAGAAGCAACGACAAGCTTTTCAAACGAGGAAGAGGACTTGGAACGAAAAACAGAAGAGTATGACGGGAACATTGTGCAAGAAAATGGTGTAAATTAAGATAACGAAGAGGACGATGATGATGATGACGATGCTGTTGACGAAGACGAAGGAACTAGTAACAAAAAAACTGAAAAAGACGAAGAAAATACAAATAGTGACACAGGCAATGAAGACTTTGATCCTTGGAATAAACTTCGAGAAGAAGACATCAATGATCTGAATCCATTTTGGGAGGAACAGGTGGAAGAAAAAATACGTCAGGGTTTGCCAAAGGATGATGCTCAGGCTCGAGCTTGTAGCCTTCTACCTCCTGTTGCCGCAAAAAAGCTACGACACTTATATTTACAATATATAAGGTGGTACCATGACCTTAAAACTAATCAAGTGCACAAAAAGGTTATGAAAACATTACGTAGCTTTATGGAAGATGATAAAATGGAATATACGAAGGCTGCAGAAGCTGCCGTGAGTAAGAGAAAGTATCTGTTAAACAGTTTGTTTGACCTGGAACATACCCCTAAAGATACATCGACTGAGAACGACAACTTAACATATGAAGCAAGGAAGAGAATGTTTTACGAACGTTTGTACACTTCATCAATTAAAAACATTATGAAATAAAATCTGCAACGACTGACTCCATATATGTTACTGAGAGTCAGGAGAGAATGTCTGTGTTTTGTAAATGCACTGCAGTTTATAATATTTCACTTAATAAAGGTGATGATTCTATAATTTTCATAACTGATGACTTTGACTTATTACGTTTTACACCGGTAACCCGAGAAACCCAAGGTGATTTTTCAGGAGAATCAATCATTCGTCAACAAAGATTTGTTGGAATAATTCTCACCTATCTGTACAATCATAGTGCTGCGAGCAATTTTGAGTAACCAATGAGCAACACTGAGTGAGTCAATGAGTGATGAAACTCTGAGTGCACTAATAATTCTTTATAACTATTCATTTCCGACCAATATCTGCAAAGCACTGAGAATTCAAGAGATTTGACAAGCGCTAACAGATCTTACATGTTCTTGAGGCTATCGATTTAAGTTTACTGAGTTGAACTGCATATAAAATCAATCGCATATATTGGCCCTTTTGGCGGGTACCATTCACTTGATGCCTTAGTGGTCTTTTATGTTGACCTTGCAAGCATTCCTGGTATGTATTAAAAGCATTATTCAAAATCGACATTAAACCTCCTCATTAAAAGAATCATACGCCTACTTAATTGTCTTAACCCCCTAAAGCAAGAACAACTGTCTTGCAACTTGTTATTATTTCTGACCTCCTACGTCACTATCTTTAATTGTTTTTTATGTACCTACATGCCCTGCATCTCATTACCTTAAACATCAGTCTAACCCTGTATCTCGTTATACCCCAGACTGGTTTGTCCCAACCCAAAATAGGTTTATCCGGAAAACCAGTTCCAAAACCGGTTTGCCCAACCAGATCTCAGCTCATTACTAAAAGTTGCCCAAGCATCCGTTAAAGACCACTATTAAGTAATGAGGTAACGAAGCGTAAACACAGGAATCGCGTAATCGCAAACAGACTTATACAGCTGGTGTATTTAATGCTCCTGTAAAAATTATTTAAAATATATTTTCTTAGCCGGATGAAATTTCTTTGATATCCTCAAGGTCATATGTCTACAGGAGAATTGCAGGATCTGAGTAATTACTTTGGCACAGAGTTCAATTGTTCTAAAATGACAATATCTTCGTGACATAGCACCTTTGGATTAGTATCGTGTGAATGGGAGCAAGAGAAGTAAGCAGGAGAGTTGCATTGAAAGTCTATGCACACATTGCTGCCCCTTCAAACGGTCCCTAAAGCCTTTACAACGAAAAGTCGTACCTGTTCCCCCCTCGTTTAGAACATGGCCAATAGTTTACACTATGGCCCACAATAAAGGACAGAAATAATAAAATGAAATAACATGGCAACTACAGTTGAACCTCCACTAACGGCAATCTCTCCACAACGGCCACTTTTTTTGGCGGACAGTCCATACATTGACTCTTACTCAAACCTCTGGCCACTTTCTTCTGTCCCCAATAAGTCAGGGGCATCCAACGAGAATATAGTTCAAAACCACTTAAACTTAGCAATGTTGAACGTATTTTAGTATTTAAACGGTAGATATAGGCATATTTTTATCCCCTCAAAATTTTTCATCTGTTCGGATTTCCTAGCTGAAAGTCTAGTGATCCGAAAATTATAGGGATCAAAAATTTTCAAACATTTCAACCAGAAAAAAACCTCCCGAAAATTTTTGGTGACCTTTTTAGGGTAAGAGTCCGTTAAAAATGGGCAATTATACCATATGTGTTCGAAAATCCTAGGAGAGGCAGGCAAGCAAGAAATTTTACAACAAATGTTCCGAAAAATCTAGATCTCAAATCGTCTTCCGAACAGATATTTTCCGAAAATTGACGTTGAGTGCCCCTGCAATGTGGCCGTTGTGAAGAGGTCCAAATGACAGGAGTAAACCAGATGGCTGTTTACAGGCATGGCCGAAGAGCTGAACTCGGGACTAACAAGGTGTTTGAATTGGCGGCTCTGTTTTACGAGTCCAGCGCTTTGACTGCTCGGTCACGGCTGCTTTTACATGGCGCTACAGCATATTCAAGTAAACTTAAACCTACCTGAGATCAGCAGCTTTAATGTCCAGCCAGAGTTTTCCCTTATATTATACCCTGGCGCTAACAAATTTTTATTGACAACTTTCTTTATTCTTATAAAGGCGATTTACGTCAAATTTTGGGCAAAAACCCCAGCTTAAGAATGAAAAAGTCTCTTTTCCTTTTTTTTTTATCAGCTTTTTTGGACACAGGCCTGCCCAGAGGGAATGTGCACGAACGGGACTCAGGTCCCACGCGAGGTGCCATCCCCGCCCAATCCACAACCCGTAAAGGTTGGCCACACCGCCGGAGTAGACGACCCCTACTCTTTTCGAATAGTGATGTGGCTTCTTTTAAGTCCCACAAGAACAAATCAGTGAAAGTGCTGTGAGACGGGACCTACGCTTTTTAGTCCTTATCCGAGAAGACTAGAAAGTCTAACCATTTGCAGATGTCATTACAAGGGCAGCACTTTCTTCTCAGTTATTTAAAGACCCTGAGTGTTGGTCCGGCCGGGGTTTGAACCTGCGACCTCCCGCTCGGCAGACCGATGCTCTCCCAACTGAGCTAACCAGGCAGCGGTTGACGTGCGTTGCTCAAAACGTCTTTGCCTAAGCTCGCCAATATTACTGATTACGTAATCAATGCCTTACCATGGGCGTTGTACAATTGGAAGCTATGTAATTTCGCAGTGGTATCCTGAAAGTAACAGGTTCCACAAGACCGCTAACCAACAGAGGAGCTGCATTTTCCGGGTTAAAGAGTTTGACGTAAACCACGTGACTGATGGAGCTTCCGTCATCAGCCGTAGCAAGCAAATCATTCGGATACTAAAAAATTAACAAACAAAAATTATGAGTAATAGTTGGATAAAAGCAAGTTCGTCGTGAATTTCCCTCAGGCGTCTTAAACGACAAGTTTACTGTTCCTTTCGGAAAAAATTGCCAATAGCATCATCGTCTTAAATGTGTTGACGTCACATTTGTAATGCAATACCGAAGAATCTCGTTTAACCTAGAAATGCATGAACATACAAAAGACTACACTTTTTCGGGCTGAAAAAGTGATAAGGAAAAAATCTAGTCAACAATTTTAAAAAAAGGCTTTATTAGAAGCTAATCACCTGAGCAGACACAATGCATGCTCCGTTACATCCATCCTCGTTGCAATCCCAGGATTCGTAGCGGTCTTTCACTGACTGTCCCAGCAAGACTTGGGCGCTTTCTTGAATGGCATAGCTGCAATTTTCACACGCGGTATTGGTAAAGTTAACATCTACGTTGTCAAAGCTGTCCTTTTTGCTCCTAATAACCACAATGTGAGACTCAGCAATCAGTGCTGGCTCCCCTGTGCTGAGGCTTTGACACAGACCTCTACCCAAGTCATCAACAAGACCCACTAGTTCTTGTTTCACCGCCATGGAGGAATTGCTGAAGTTGCCGGGTTCAATGAGCGCGGAAAATACGCTTAGAGTTGTCTCAACCTGTTGAGGAAACGCTTGACATTAGATGAATTTTTGAAGGGTCTTGAGTCGTTGAAACGAGTTCTAACTGAAATCAAGGTTTACGACAATACTACGTGTAGACGTGTAGACGGTGTGACAGCGAAATGAATTACCGGCCAAGTTTAAAAATACATGACGCCATTCTTACCGACCAGTGAGGTGTCGTCCTTTAAATAGCCACACAGTATGACACAGAACCAAGGCAGAAATAGATTTCATACAATTTTCATAGGAAGAGGGTCATTAAACTATCAAACATTGTCTTTATTATATTTGTTGCGTCACTTTAAGAACAAGATGAAAAACAAAATACACAAATTTTTAGCTGCAGTGACAAGAAAAAGACACTTTTTAATGATAAAAAAGTGCCATCGAAAAATAAATCTATGATGGTTATTGCTGGAACGAATAAAATCATTTCTGTTTAAATCGTTCTGTAGTCAAAGACAGTTTTGAGCTGCCATAACTGACTTGACTTGACCGGTTTGTTTGGTTTTTCCACATACATCATCTATAGTTTTTGCGTCAACATCCACTTCTTCATCTTCACTGTCATCACTGTTAGTAGATCTTCGTTTTCTCCGAGATGATTCGCCGTTTTCCCGAGACCTCTTTGGGGAGACTAATTTCCTTAAGTTTTTCGCCGTCTCTTCCTTATCCTCAACAGCTTCACTGACCCTCTTTCTCCCTTCCTCTATATCGCCAGACACGCCCATGAGGCCAAGCTCAAGTGATTTCAATAATTCTCCTACTTCCTCGCTACCAATGTCTTCAGACTCTTGGACTTCTTTGACTTCATCATCAACCTAATGATGAATAGGAAGATTCTTACATTTGTACCTTAAATCGAGCATATTGTTGACTTCTTCTGTTGAAGCAGTCCTGGAACGAAAATCAGACTGTAAGTTGAACAAAGTGATATTTCATGTTCTCCTGTAAATAAGATGTTTTGAAGTTTTTAGTGATAAGCTTCACCCTTCTTCAAATTAAAAGAAAAACAATGCCAAAACTTTAAACTTTTCTCTTCGTTTCTAGATAAAGAAGGTTTATTGTTATCATTATTATTATTATTATTATCATTATAATTATTTTGATAATCATTAATGACTATGTAGGAGTGGCAAGCTGTTTGGGATATCGTCCGAACAACAGGCAACGAGGGCCACACAGACAAAACATTCTCGTTGATATACCAAAGAGAGTCGAAGGAAGAACCTGGATACGAAACGTAAAGTATCATAATGGGCTCCTTCCAGGGTATTTTGAGGCCGGTTCCTGGGCCAGAACAACAAACACGGTCAGCCGCGAGATGTATGAGAGCTTCCTTAGGTTCGAGGAAGATTTCTCAGTTTACTTTGAGATAATTTTTTCCGCATGGAGTTAGTTTTAAGACGTCCAGTTAAATACAACTATGAATTTGAGAAGAGCATTTATGACAAATCTTACCCCTTTTGCTAACTCAATCAGCATGTCATTCGTTGCCTCTTCGCTGTCCGATCCGAACACCATCCGTTCAACGTCGGCTGGAAATTAAACAAAAATTATCAGTCACGCCAAGAGAATTCTACATATGGGGTTACTCAAAATACAACACAGCTTGTAGGAAAATCGTACAACAATAGTAGCGACAGAAATTTCATCCTCAGCGATTTACTTCAATGAGAAAACGTAACATACATCGACGGGCGACGTAGGGAGAAACTCAAAGTATAATAAGGAAATTAGGGGTCAGTTAAGGCGTGGTGGCCTAGCGAAACAACACGTCGGACATTGAGTGGAACTTCGATGTAACGAACCTCTATATGAGAAAGTCCTCGATGTAACGAACGATTTTCTCAACCGTAGCAAATGTAAAATATATGAAAAAGAATTGGGCGACCTTGCAGCTCTTGGGAGACCTCAAGGGATTGGTTTGGAAAACAGCAAACAAACAAACTTAACAATGGAACCTGGCCCGAAAACAAAAGAGCTGCGACCCATAGGGGTCCAATTGAATTAAGGGTTCTGATGAGCTGAAAGACTATTAACTGAGAACATCGACACAACGAAAGCTCGTTATAGTATAGAGGTTCCACTGTACTTGGTTTCATGAGAAAACAACCTTTGCTCTCTCTTCACCCACTCATATAACTGGCGAATGACAACGTCCTACTGGAAGTACCAACCCTACAAACGACTGTCGTTTCATCCAGTGGGTAGTAGCAGTAATGCTTCACAAAAGAGGGTAAGCTCACTTGGCGAGGGTGTGGGTAAGCAGTTGGACCCCAGAGTTCCGCCACACGTTCCAACCCCGTAACTTTTTATATACCGTTTCTGAAATACGTACCCTTTTCCTTAGTCTGCTACACAGCCGTTTTTAGTGTCGTCACGCAACGCTCCTCCCCGACACTAAAAACGGATATACATGTGTAGCAGACTACCTTTTCTTATACCTCCCACTGAAAAATGATACCCCTTTTAGATACCAACTCAAGGTTAACAAATTTTCCAAACATCTCATATAATTTATTTCAATTTGTGTAATCCCAACCTTAGTGATATGTACCTGAAGCTTGAGAAGAAGGCATCATGGGAAGTACCCTCATCTCCTTACGGGTATGAGATCCCGATTGGCTTAAAGAGCGCTATATGGTATGTGCCATGGAAGTTCCAATAAAACTGCGCCATCAAGAAATTGTCTTTTCCGATCATCACCCAAAAGAACCAGGATTCGTACAATTCCTACACTTCTAATCTTAAATTCATTTTCTGAGTGCAATTTACAGGTAACTCTGGGATTGGTAACTAAACCTACCTCGAACTTCAGTGATTTCATTTCGGTTCAGTTTTTCTCTGATTTTCTCAGTAGCGTTCTTCATGTCTTCCTCGTTGAAGTTCTGAGGAGGGACTACAACTGGACAAACAGTCCTCGCTGTTGCTCCACGCGTGTTTCGGGCTTGTGCAATACAGTTTAACTTGTTACCTTTTTCCGGGTCACCTGAAATTCAAATAAAAACCGCACGCTAATATGTCCTGTTTTTTTATTATCATCATCATTATTCTCAAGGAGGTGGTTTGCTAGACACCACACTTTAAGTTACTAATGCTGGATTTTTAATGGTAGTTCTAGATGTCCTAAAATTAGTCTTTAACTGATTTTAAAGGTTTTTGTTTGTCGTTGTCATGGTAGTATCGATTTTACTTAAACCTACATTTTGACAAACTTCAATCTTAGGTCAGTTAGTGGTAAAAATTTTATGGCGATTGGAGGAGGATAAAATCACTTTTAAGGCGATTGAAAAACATCGGTATGGTCTCCCAAAAACTGTATCGAAACACCTTAATCAAAGCAAAAACAGATAATCGCAAACAGGTGGTATTACAACACAACACGAAATCTTCATCCCTTTCCCCTCCACTTTTCTCTGCACCCGGGCCGGGCTACTAAAGTGTTTTGACAATTTACAACTTGTATAAGGGATACACCTTAGATAAGACTAAGCTAGGCACAAAGACATTGTTACTAGGTAACCATTAAACTAATCAAAAAAGGGGAAAGCGTGGGGTTAAAACGTGACCCTGGAATTTAAAGTTCAGTATGTTGTCCGTTACGTTTTGGCCTTGGGTTTGTTTTTTACTGGCATGGCATACTAAGTGTTATTTTATCACTGCTGGCTTTTCAATTCGCCACTTTACAAACGAGAGGAAAACTGGGACCAGTTAACTTTCGCAAAGATTTCTGGGACTGTTACAAGGGAAGGGAAACAATTGACCTTGCGTCCCTAGTAACTATCCCAGAAACAATTTCGGGGCACGTTTCGGCTCCAGTCCCCTTTCCTTTTCTAAATGCGAATGTAGCCATTTTTTTTCACTACCTTATGTCTACCTCGTTTCTTGTGCATCTTTAGCCGTCACGCAACGGGATTTCTCCGCACGACGTGACAAAAAAACCTGTATCGGACCGGAACAGATCAACCTCGTAACTCACTAAATGACAAAAGGTTTGGGATGGGGTTAATTGGAGGGTTCAACTTGTCCCGTTTGCCCTACCAAAATGTTAAGCATAGTGTTCTAGGATCAATTTAGGTTTCTGAGAAACTGCCCACCTACCCCTTCCCTAAACCAACAGTTTCTCTAAGTAAGAAGTAAGTGCTAATGTTAGCTTAGGAGAGGGGTAGGTGGGCAGTTTGCCGGAAACCTACCTTGATCCGTCTAATGCAGTGAGCCGTTCATACCTGGAGGTAAAGCAACGTTTTCGCAGATGTTGCTAGTAGACCAGGAAGTACTGTATTTTGGTTTATTGTTCTTGTCCATATATCCACAGCGATACTCCAGTGCTTCACCCTCGGGATCTTCAAAGTCAAGTCCTTCAATAGAAATACCTTCATCTTCTGATCCTTCAAGTTTCTGACCTGGAAAATATTGAGGCTTTTTTAATGGGCCCTTTTATCAGGAAAAATAGCATGAAAGGTGTACTACAATCTAACTTGAATTGAACGACGACTCCCTAATATAATCTTAATATGGTGACTTAAGCTATGTCTCAAATGCTGAGTGAAGTGTTCGTTCGAACCTAGTTAGTATAACTTACGATAATTTAATTTAGTTTCACTTCGTAAATAAGTATAGTTTCCGTAATAATTTAGTATAATTTATAACTTCTTTTAATTAGTTAACACGCCTAAGACCAGACGCATATGATTAACCAGATCATCGCACATAGCAGACGTAACTCAATTTTTGAGTAAAGAAGTTTATAAGGACTTGGCAAGGGTCTGCTGTTTATCTTTTAACCTTTTAAGCCCCATTAGCATGAGTTCCCAGCATCAAATTCCTCTTTGGAGTACGTAAATCCTCTATCCTCGCCCCTCCCCCCCGTGTCTTATTTAATTCAAGCCCACTTGAGAGGGGGCTTGTTTGAGAGGGGGGGGGGGGCTTATTTAATTTAGCAAAGACGATTGTGTAAGTTATCCATAAAGAACTTGACTACAAAGTGGACAAGCTCAAGTACAAGAAGGATGGAGGTCATGCAGCCGAGGATCAGAATCAAATCCGAACTTCCACTTGGTAAATAAACCACCCCGGATCAGCTCACACGAAGTTTTACAGTCGTGATTTATTAATACAGTCAATAATTTATCAGTGAAGAATAATTAGGAGAGGGGAAGGGGCATAATGGAGAGGGGAGCTTATTAACTTTCTTCCCCTGAAAAGGCGGGGGGGAGGGCTTATTAGAGGGAGGGCGTTATTTGAGAGGGGGCGCTTAATAGAGGATTTACGGTATCTATGCTTGCTTAAACAGAGTGACTACGAGAATTGAGGACACGATAACCCAATTAAATAGATACTTTATCAGCTTCTTTCCACTATTTCTATAGGAAATGTATCGGGAAAACAAATGATAATTACAATTTTGACCCAAGGGTTACTCGGTGACTTACATCTTCCTTCTATCGGCGGTTCAGCATCTTTCACTTCATCCTCTGCAGAAGCCTCAACTTCTTCTCGCCACACCTTCAGTTTGCATTTCAGCTTTAATCCATTTCTCCACTTTCTCACGACCAGGGCTACTTTTTGTTTGATCAATGACTTATCCGGACGCTTCTTTACAACCGAAGAGACTGGTGAGTCGGTTACACTCTTGAGATCAATGTCAAACAAGTTTCCTAAAAAACAACATAGAAAAGAGAATACAAGAATACATCAAGACAAAGTGTTTTTTCCTTTTTTATTACTAATGGCGTCTGAATGAAATGTAATCACCGACCAACAACGGCAACAACATTGAGCTTAATTTCTGTCATGACCATAAAAAGTTGCAAGTTTCGCTTCAATTAAATCACGACGAGATGAACGTGATCGACTCTCAGTATTAAGACAAAAACATTGACAAAAAGATATGAAAAAAACTGTGGGGTATAAACCAAAATATAGCCTCGAAGAAAGTGACGCGTACTGCTTTGAGCGCCCGCTTATTTCCTTAGTATTCAACCATGGACAAATAGTAAATGAACGTTCAATAAAAAGCAAGAGAGGATAAAGGGGACAGAGAAGGCATCCCCCATACACACCCCATTCCATAGGTAATTCGTCTGGAGTTATTTTTAACACCACAGATCTCAAAGGGGATTAGACAACAGCTAATTACATAGCGCGAATGTGTTCCGCGTGGATGACCCACGCTCAGAGCCACGCGTCCTTCACGAATTGACGCAGAACAAAATGGCGGAAGACGCGGAGAGCGATATTGCTATTCCTTTTGTCGACGAAAACGACTACAGAGAGATTTCTGCTAAAGCTGTGTCAGCGAAACGAAAATTAAAAAAGAATCGCCCTTCCTCTCTTGTATAGAGTTTACAGTACAGCAGGGAAATCCTTAACACACTGAATATTCTCTCAGGATCATTTATAATTTACAGTTTGAAGAGAACAATTTCTGGTATTAGTCTTTTATTATTCAACAAAAATAACACTTGGCGCCCTACTTGCTTTATTGTACAAACGAACGGTTTCAATAGACCGGCGAAATTTCTCATTTTATTAAAGCACTGAGGTTACGACAACTTCGAGTTAAACTGATTTCACGGGTTGTCAAAGAGTCCAGCGATTCCCTTTTCCCAGGTGAGCGCCGACTCATTTTGCTTCAATATTCAGGAATGCTCTTGATCTCTTTACGCTTTCATTGCCTCTCGCCCGACATGTTTTGCACGGCGTTTAGTCATGCGAAACCTGCACGAAACATCCACGCAGCGCGCGAGGTAACTATATCCCGATTCTAAAAATAACTCGAGACGAATTACCTATGGAATAGGGGGTGTTTGGGGGATGCCTTCTCTGTCCCCTTTATCCTCTCTTGATAAAAAGTAATGATGCCGAAGTTTCGGGCCTGGCCCTTCATCAGTGGATCCGGAGTTACGTTAGAATCGGATAACCATAAAAAGTAAATGTTTCTTTAAATAGTAAATGGGTAATTGACTAATCAGAGAGTGCGCTTTACTTTCGCTATGTTTATAAATAACCCAGAAATGTCTATAATAAATAATGGTCATAAGAGGTATGAAAGTATGTCAAATTACCGTCTTCGTCCATTTGTTTGCCCGACCACTCCAAGCTTAGATCTGGTAACGAGCTCTTCACAACAGCTATAAACTTCACTTTAGCAGCGTTGGAAAACGCTTGAACAATTTTGACTTTGGGTACTTCCTGCCCTTTGACATCAAAGTATACCGATGCGCTGGCGCTCATATCACGCTTGAAGTATCTCAGCGTAATTGCGCAACTGTTGAACAACAAAACCATGGACAGACGTGTTAGAAGGTTTTTTCTTTTATAGAGAGTATGTCAGCAGAAAGATCTCACCAGACAGATTGGACCCTTATGGTCAAGATTAGCCAAAAACAGACACCTGTGGGATCGATCCAGGGAGAATTTCCTCTGTCAAGAGTGAAAACAAACCCTGATGATGATGATGATGATGATGTCAGCATCGAAAACGAGTGCGACTTCGACGAGTTTACCGATTGAGCCAACAGCGCATCAGTTCTGCTCAGCCGCACGTGCTCAACTTGTTCTTGCAAGTCGCGCTACGGCGAGTTTTCATCGAAAAGTCGAGGTGGCAGGAGCGAATTTCTTGTTTTGTACGTGAAATCAACAACATCCCATTGTAATATTTTCCGCAAACTTGAACTTGAAGTAACTCCAAAGAGAACCTGAGTAGCGAAAGTACGAAAAGGAGTTGTACTCGTTGTCGAAGTCGCTCTCGTTGTTACTTCTAATAAGCCCACCCAGGGCTGGCTCACTGGGAGTTTATTGGACAGAGGGCGATGTTAGAGGAGAGGGGGTGTTTAAAATTGGCGCCGCAACTGCTTATTAGAAAGATAACGGTAATTGGACGCTTTAGCTGGGTTGAGTTGGTCGTTAGTTCTCGCGCTTTTCTCTGAGAGTTCTTGCTCCGAGTACTCCGCCTTTCCCCTTACCTAAAAACCAACATTTCAAAATCTATTGTCAGCTGTATTGTTCTCCTTCATTTGCATTACACGGTTCGTACAGATAATTTTTGGATCCAAAATTCAAGACATTTTCCAGACTTTTTTCCAAAACAGTAATTTCTTTTTCCAGGCTCTAGGTTATCAAAACGGTGATCAATAGAAACCTTACAAAACCGCAGGAACGAAGTGTTTTTTCATGATGTGCTGCAAAAGGTACAGGCGAGACTGAATAAGATTTTACCAAAACGAAAAAAAAATCACTTATAAAGCACTTGTTGTGGCTTTGAAAAAAAACCTCAAGACTTTTTTAGCATTTTTTCAGACTTTTTTCAAGTCTGGAAAACTGCTGGGCAAATTTCAAACCTTTTTCAAGACTTCAAGATTCTGTACGAACCTTATCATTAGGTTCGACACGTGAAATAGGACGTTCGAACTAAGCCTAACTGCTTTGACTTTCTCGGTTCTCTCAAAAGTATAAAATAATGTTTTAACCAAATAGGTCCCGGAAAAAAAAAACAGAAAAAGAAAGAAAAAAGCAAAAGAAATCCTTACGTCTTGTCTGCCGGCAGAGTGTTTGGAGGAATGCGAACCACTGCTCTTTGAGGTAAAATCAGTTGCTGAAGCTTGTCCCTAGAGAAACACCATCGCCAGCCGTCATCATATTTGCATTTACAAGTCCAGAGGTAGATGGGATCTTCTGGGAGGTTATTAGGGTCTTTGGAATTACTCCCATCACAAAGAGCCTCTTCGCTGGCACTTATCGTTCTTTCTTCGCCACCTGAAAGGAGGAGTGTAAGTTAAAAAATGACAATTTGTTTGGAAAGCAACTGATTTTCACGCAAGCAAGTCCTGCATAATCTGGTACAAAACTATAGAGGGAATTCAGCTGAGATCAGAGGTGACAGATGGCCATTTGCATTTCTTTGTACCTCGCCAAACCACTTGTACAGCATTCGGTAGCAAACTTTGGAAGAACAGTGTCCTCAGGGATAAATCATGGATTTATGTCTAAATGGGACGCACTCAAACAATTCTCTCATGGTTTATGAACTAAATTGTGTTTTTTCTGGGGTTTTGATTGGTATTTCCATGGGAAAAAAGAGTCTCCTTTTCACCCATTACCATAGTAACATACCCTTTATCTTGGCAACAAGTTTCTTGGTTTTTACCACGACCGTCAGTGACGCACGAGCAAACAACAAATCATCGTCTCTCACGTACGCAGTGAACGTACATCTTAAAACCTGCAAAAAAGTGACATAGTCATCAGTTTTCTCGGCGCTTTTTTTTCTGAGGCAGAAACCTCTACTTTTTTCCTTTCGCCTTCTTCTACCTCGAATTCATACTCATTGCCCGGGGGGGGGGGGCACTTCTTAAAAGAGACTAATGGGGATGTGCCGCTGGATGGGGTCACATTTTCACGGCTGGATTGACTATAATGGAGTCGTATTTTCAACAGAGTTACTAGAATAGGGTCGCACATTTTCCGATTTTTGGTGTTTTGGGGGTTTCTTCATATTTACGGTTAGCAAACGCACCAGAATGTTTGTACTGTAGGTAAAAAGTAAGATGTTCTTCATTCAATTTAAAAAATGGGTCAGTTCATTTTAGGACGATGACCCATTTAAAGGATTGATAAGGTAGATACATAAATAGAAAGTGACTAAGTTGGGATCACGAAGATTATATATTTGCCCAAAAGTGACAAAGATGTGGTCTATAATTGGCCACAGAATACACTATCATGGGGTAGGGGCTCTGAAGTAAATCGCGCCTTTCGCAGCAAAAAAATACTTAAGTGAAATGGTTTGGGCTTTTTATTGCTGACTATATAGAAAGATGCGCTAGCTCGTGAAATATTTTTCAACGTTGAAAGAAAAATTATCTTGTCGGCTCGCGGCCACGTAATAATTATCCTCTTTATCTCTCTGCCCAATAAGTATAAAACCGGGTTACCTGTCCAGCCGTCAGTTGGCCAGCTCCAATCCTTAAAACTAGGCTCTCGTCGTTAAACCGAAGACTTTGATCATTGCAAGACCACAGGTACACCATGAAGCGTTTGTTTCGACTCACACAAGACGGAGGCTGTACTTTTGCTATTTCCAAAATAAGAAAAAGAGACTTCATTACAAGTACGTGGAGCTTCTCTTTTTGAGTCAATATCACACCATGACTGACGTCAATCGTGGTGTAGACAGATAACATCTCCAAACTTTGGTCTTGTCCACTCTTAGCTTAGTATATACAGTTTCATAAACGAGTAAGAGGGTTTTATCAGGCTTAAAACACGATGTGTGCTTATTAGTGAACCGCTTCATAAACGTCTTCATTTTTTCGAATGCTTCACCATTCTTCCCGAGGAGATAGGTGCTAAAAACTTAGCTGTGTTTTGATAATCTTTTTAAAAAATTCTATTTTAACGAATAATTGTTTGAATTAAGCCCATGTATACAACGTTTACACAATTCTTGCAAGTTTCAAACCCTCAACTGTGAGAGTCAAAGAGCCGTGAACACTGATTTAACTTTGACGGTTTACTAATCAGTCACAATAAAGTTAGGACACACAAGCAATGCGTTTTAGTTTTCTCACGCCTGGCCATGTAATAATTATCCTCTTTATCTCTCTGCCCAATAAGTATAAAACCGGGTTACCTTTCCAGCCGTCAGTTGGCCAGCTCCAATCCTTAAAACTAGGCTCTCGTCGTTAAACCGAAGACTTTGATCATTGCAAGTTTCAAACCCTCAACTGTGAGAGTTAAAGAACCGTGAACACTGATTTAATTGTGACGGTTTACTAACCAGTGACAATAAAGTTAGGACACACAAGCAATGCGTTTTTAATTAGTTTTCTCACGCCTGATTGGCTTCCTCCTTTCGACACAGTAACATTCTAGAAATATTTCTTGAGTTCACGGTCAGTTTCAGTTTTTTTTCCGTGTTTTACAAAAGACAACTTGTCCTTTCTGAAAGACAACGCCATAATCAGGAACCACGGAGCTTTTCATGGATAATTTACAACACTAGCAAATAGATAATACCGTATTTACAATTAACAATTATAAATACCGCGCAAAAAAAAACAAAGCTTACCTCTAAGCGTCACTCTTACAGATGGGCTTAATAAAATCCTGGTCCATGGGAACGAAACCTTTGGGACCGCTCTAATAATACGTCGAACAGAAACGGTGCTGCAAACTGTCTGGCCACTAAATTCCGCCAACGCACAACAAGTTATGTTGTAAATGATTCCAGTCTCGATGAATCTAGCACCAAACGTCACCATCTTCCTTCCCTCAGAGGACAAGCGCGCGAGTTTTTCATTTACCTGCTGCAGGTCAGCGGTTTGGCTAGAAGTGGGGGAAGAGGAATCGTCGAAGGACGCAGACCAGTTAAACTTTGCGCGTTGGTTTGCCGTTGCAGTTACCTTCAACCTATCGCACGAACCTAACACAAATTGCACCGAATAATTAGGTTTCTTTGGAATGGATCTGTCGGACCAGGATTTATGATCCGGGTTTTGCCAAAGGAGAATAACCTAAGTGTCATGATAGACAGGTTCCAGCACATTTCACATTTTTTAGCTATATATCGTTGCACGCTAGAAACGCAACTTTTAACTGTGGCGTTTATTATTAAAATACCACTAAGGGGTTATACACTTCTGATATAACTTAACTATACATAAGTAAAATGCTAACATTTCATGTATAAACTATCATGATTTGCACACAAAGCACTTTTCACACAACAAGAAGGCAAATCAATTAAGTAAATGGATTGACTGCCAGTCCCATTACCAATAGATCCTTTGCAGCTAGTCGTGCATTCACGTGGTACAAAATCACCATGCTGGACAAGACAAACAAAGGAAATTATCAATTTAAATGACGTAAGACTTTTGTTCGTCTTGTCCCAGTGCGTCCCTTGCTCTACAGTATGGCGGTTTTATACCACGTGAATAGGAAGCAACAACGACGGCGACGGCTATAGGCTAAGAACGTCACTTAAAAAGTAATTTTGCGCTGCTTCAAACTTTATCCGGTCTATTCCATCTTGTTTAATTCTTTTGGGGGGGTTGGATTCTAAAGGACTGTATAGAAGTTCAGGGCGCAGTTGTTCGAACGCCGGTTAGCGCTTACCCGGGGTTACATTTTAACCCGGGTTTCTTTTTCTTTTCATAAAAAGCACTCTCTCGTATAGTTTTCTCAGTTCTTTTTAGCGTAATTAAGCTATCATAATATTGTAGGTAAAGAGAATTAAACTGAATTTGCTTTTTAAGCCCTCATATCTGAGTGCAAATTTCGCACTAACCCTGGGTTACCGTAACCCAACTTCGAACAACCCGGCCCAGAAAAAGAAAAAATCATTGTTTTGTGTTCACGTTTTCCACAAAACGTGAAATTAGGCATATTCACGATGTAGTCGTGCAAAGACGGCAAAGAAATATACAAAAAAGCGTTATGCACGTGCAAAGTTGTTATTTTGCTAATCTAAACCTATTGCTTTTTTGCCGTTTTCGTTGCCGACGCCGTCGTCGTTGCTTAAGCTTCCTACTGACCAGCTGCAAAAGGGCCTACTTACGATCCTAAATCAATTTAAAATAGAGTACCCGTACCAGAATGATCGCCCGTGCGCCAAAAGCCTGGTTAAACAAGGGTTAACCAGTTACCAGGTTTTCACAAATGCGCAAAACCGGGAAAACCAGGCTTTAACCAGGGCCCAGTTGTTCAAAGGCCGATTAGGGATTAACCTGGGGTTAAATTTAACCCGGGTTTCTTTTTCTTATGTTCAAAAGCATTTTCTCAGATAATTTTCTCTCTTATTTTTAGAGTTTCCAATCATCAACTTGTAGACAAAAAGAATTAAAACTTAAAAGCTTTTTCAGCTCTCAAATCTGAATTCAAATCTCGAACTAGCCGTAGGTTATCTTAACCCAGATTTGAACAACGCGGCCCAGGCTCTTAAGGTACTGTCGTTTACAAACCTATTTCCCCAGGAGCTGACAGCTTTACTTCAAGTTCAGCAGCGTTTGGAGAATCTTCCACATAAACCTGCCTGTCTTCATCAGAGGAAGAGTGCTTCGTGAAGGCAGATCCTTGACGATTGATATATCTTAATCGAATACGGAGGGTTTGACCAGGACGGAGGGAGGAGTCGCGTAGAAGCCGAACCAGGAGCTTTCCTTTTCGACAGCGACATTTGGAATTTCCGCTCAATGAGAGCTTCCAAAATGCAGCTGCAGTGAAAAAACTGGAACTGTTCTTCCATGCGTTACCACCACAGTCCACCGGTCTGTTAAACATGCAGAAGAGATAGTTGCGCTTTTCGCTGAAGACGCATTTTGTAGGCTCAGGAACAAGGTCGTAAATGCTCAACTTCTTCGCTATTGACTTCGCTTGTTCAACAGCATTTGGGTCAAACATAACGCTAATCATGGCGTGTTGAGGGGACAAATCGGACGTCATCGAGCAAACTATGGATTTATCGCTCGCAAAAGTAGCGTCCAGCTTTTCAGATTTTCCATTCGCCATAAATAAAATGCACATCAAATTCGAAGTGTTCACGAACCCTGTCCCAGTTAAAGTCACCGTTGTTGCATTGCTGATCAAGGTTTCGTTAGGAGTAACGAACAGGATTCTAGGCTTGTTATAGACCAAAATCTTCCCCTTGAATGTAATCTCATTTAAAGAACCGTCCGGCGTACAGTTTAATGCATATTTTCCGGAGGGCATCCCAGTTGACGTGAAATAGAACACTTTCGACTTCTTATTTCCTTTAGTACGAGCCTTACCAAATCTCAGAGGGTATTTTCTGCAAAAAACAGCGGCAAAAAGATGAAATTTCATCAACTAGTCTTATTTTGGGATAGTTTAGTAAAGTTTGTCATACCTCATGTAAACGTCTTCCCAACTTTAATTCTACAACCCTGGTCAAAACATCTTAGGACACTTGAGGAAATTAAGCGCGAAGACGCACTTTGCTGATCTAACTTTTAACTTATTCTAATTCTTATATTTTTCTACCGGGGAGCGCTTAAACTTAAAAGTAGAACATCGCTTAGCTTTACGCGCTACTTTTCCCTAGGGTTGATTTCCACTGTCGCGTAATTTTTACGTGCGTACGTGCGCAAAATTTACGTTCGCAAATAAAATAGAAGCAATGCATGAAAGGTCGCTCGTAAGAGTAAAAGTTGAACCTCGCTCAACTTCTCGTTTAAGCTCAGCACTTTTTATCTTGCGTCTATTTTTTTTACGAGATTTAAATTTACGTGCGTTAACGTGCGTAGCCAAAAACGCGTCATTGCAAATCAACCTTTAGGGTGGTTATCTACTGTCGTGTAACTCAGAATAAATAGAATAGAGGCAATATTTGAAAGGTCACGCATAAACGTTAGAGTTGGCCTTTGTTCAACTTTCATGTTTACCGCTAGCTCTCTTAAGGTTGATTTCCAGTCACGCGTCTTTGGTGCGCACGCTAACGCAGGTAAATTTTAATCACGAAAATGAAATAGAGGCAAGATAAAAAGTGTTAAGCTTAAAGGAGAAGTTGAGCGAGGTTCACCTTTTACGCTTACGAGCGACCTGTTATGCTTTGCGTCCATTCTATTTGTGAACGTAAATTTTACGCACGTACGCACGTAAAATTACGCGACACTGGAAACTCGCGTAATTTTTATGTGCGCACGCGCGTAAAATTGAAACAGAGGCAATATATGATGGTCGCGCGTAAACGTGAACTTAACCTTCGCACAACTTTTACGTTTACGCGCGATACTTCGTACATTACCTCTATTTTATTTACGTGCGTATTTCACGTTTATAATTACGGGAAGGTGGAAATCAACCATTAAGGTTGATTTCCACTGACGCGTTTTTGGCTACGCACGTTAACGCACGTAAATTTTAATCACGCAAATAAAATAGAGGCAGGATATAAAGTGTTGAGATTAAACGTGAAGTTCAGCGAGGTTTTACTTTTACGCCTACGTGCGTACGTTTGTCGCGTTTTTCTAAATTTGTCTATTGTCTCTATTTTACTTACACTCGTAAAAACTATGCGACAATGGAACTCCACTAAAGCTCAAAGTTTAAGTGCCCATGCGTCCCTTCTACATGTGAATTAATTTTAACACAATACAACCTTTAGGAGCAAAGAGAATTTTTAAAATTGAACCGACGTCGAATAAATGGTAGAGCGAATTTAAAGTTGGAATTTCTTTTTTAAACAGACTATAAAAAAAGTACCTTTCATTTTCTCTTTGTAAATAACATTCGATTATTTTCTTCGGTGCCGCTATAGTCAGGCACATTTGTGTAGATTCGTCACCAGTAATCGCTTTCACATCAACATCGAGGATTTTGGGGCATTTGTTAAACTGCAGCCGGTCGAGTTTCGGATCCAAGCATTCACCACACGAGTCTGTTTCGTTTTTGCCTCTCACTACTCCAGCACAGTCAACACACTTGTTGTTCCCTCCGCAGACTCCACAGCGGTCCTTTCCCCAGTTAAGGGATTTTCCAGTGTTTCCACCAACACAAACACTACTATTGCACTCAGACTGTCGATAAGAAAACAACACGTAAACGTGATCAAAGAGCGTCCGGTCATAAATTAAGTCCCCAGGGGCTTATAATTTAAATCACCTTTGATGGGAAGGGGGGGGGAGCTTAATAGTGAGGGAGGAAACGCAATTGGTTTCCCTAATACTTATCCGCTGGATAGTGATTTATCCGATGGATAGCGCTATCCAACGTTTGAACAACCGGGACCAGAACTACAAACTCACCGGTACAGCACCGCAGTCTCCATTGCAGTGCCTAACACTGGGCGTACTGTCATTGATTCGACAAATTCCGCATTTATCTCTGAACGACGGAATTAAACAGCTGTTAGAACAGAAGATGGGTGCTGCTCCTCGTAACGTACAGTTGCCGCACTCATCTGGAAAAAGATGAGTAAGGCAAGATCAGTCAAGTGCTGTAATATAGTAAAAACAAGAACCGCGTATAGAGACCTAGTGAATTAAGAACCTCCTGGCAGAAATTGCCATTTTAATACCCAAAAATACGAGAAACTGTTAAGGCAAGCAAGACCAAGCAGGTGTTTTACCCGTGGGTTACATTTAAATTATAATAAACATATTAACCAAGGAGTTTGACTTTGAAAGTGCAATTTATATTACAAGAAAATAGTTTAGTTATTAACTGAACTAAATATACATTTCCCTGTAATTAGTTTTGTCATGAATAAATACTGTATTTTTGAAAAAAAACCAAGTTTATGCATTTTATTGATTTTAAGAACCTAATAAAGAACCAACTTAGCCTAAATTGCCAGTACGTACCCCAAAATAAAAGAACCTTTTTTTTACAAATCGATCACAATTTTCTATGGTCTACACTCTCACAGACCAAAGAAATGATGTCATAAATTGTTCAAAACTTAAGTGGAACCACGAGCCGCAGGCGAGTGGTTTCACTGCAAAGTTTTGAACATATTATGGCGTCATTTCTATGGTCTATAAGAGTGTAGACCATGAAAAAATTGTGGTCGATTTGTTTTTTACAATAACATTTATATTTTTAGGAAAAACCAAAAACAAAACAACCGGCACTGCGTGACATGTTACGTCATTTCCATGGTCTATACTCTCATAGACCATAGCTCTCCACCAATCAGCTCGCGAGGATTCGCTCAGTTATTGTAAAATTTAGATTTGAAATGACATAGCGGTGCAATAGTGAAGTACTTGCCGACCTCTAATACGGCGGTCATGAATGCAGAGTCCTCACCGAGAGAGTACGTAACCGTATGGCCTAACAGTGACTGCGGGGTTTTTCGCTCGGTGAATTAAAGAATGCGGCACTGCAAATTGGGGGGGCGGGTGGTTTGTTTCAGCAGGGATTTTACCTTTCGCGTAAATATTTTAAATTAACATCTACACCCCATAATAAATCATTTTTCATTATTACTAATGTATTATCTTTGTCACGTGATTTGTCACACCCATTTTGACTTTTTATTTCAATCCAAATTTACACCACCTTATAATTAACACTTGCAATTTAATTTATTTTTTTGTCAATGACTATCGACACAAAGTTTGTGGAATTAATCGCCATTTTCTTAAATTATCTACGTTTTCTAAACTATAACGTTTCTTGTTAAGAGGGAGAATGGGACGAGAGAAAAATATGTAATAATTACGAAGGAATGGATCATTTCACAAATCCCCGATTTAGCTTATTTGACTGTAAATGAAATATGATGGAAGGAAAAACGATTGTGGTCACATTCATTAAAGCGGTGTAATCTGCAAAGTCCATAGTTTGCATAATTATTGGAGTGCCTGGTCACGTGATCTAAAAAAAAAGTAGTTTTTAAGGTCCAAAGTGGTTCTGGTCTTAAACACAGCGGTCTACGGTTAAAATGAAGGAAGATACTGGAAAAAAATCAAATCATAGAACCCCGCATGTAACGAGGATCCATGCCTTAATTCACCTGAGTAGCTCATTTGCTTTCGCTGTTAGTAAAACGCTGGGAAGACGTAATTACTTTCAAACTAGAAGTGTCAAAACTTTCTTGATAAAGTGAGAAACAACCTACGGTTGGTTTTAAAACCATTGATTGCGTAAAAAAGGAGAAAAGTTGACTTTTTTACCCAAGTACTAGCGACTAAGCCACAAGACAGGTCTTCACGTCGTAGGATTTGGCGCTACGGCAAGAGGGCATTTCCAAGCACGCGCAGCACGTCATTTTGGGGCTCTTTTACTTCCGGCCACAGTAGTAGAGGTCGCCCTACCGATTTCCTAAAAAACCCTATTATCTCAATTCCGCTTCATTTTGTTATCATAAAATGTGTTTTTATTACTGATTCCCAACTGGGTTCTTGTAGGCCTTGTCTGAGCGGTTTTCGCCATAATGTTGTGATGCGCGCAAGCGGAATCAAACTCCATTTATCACGAAAGTTGAACTACTTCTCGAAGACGCCGCTTAAAGGATCCTTTGAGAGCTCCGCTTTTGTCCTTGGCTAAATCTGTATATTAGAAAGTGTTAATGGGAAATACAATTCAAAACTCACCCAATCTTTTATTGGAATAAGCTTGGCCATCACACCCCACACACTTATTCCTCCTATCTCTCCTGCACACCCCGCATTTGTCTCTTTCCAGATTCGATCCAGCTACTTTATCACAGCCCATCTTTAACACGATACATTTGGCCGACTGACGAGAGTAGGCGGTGTCTGAGTCCATGAAGCTGTCATTTAATGTGTTCAATCCAGATGTTCTGTTGTCAGAACCGTCCCAAGCTCGAAACTTGAAGAAGGTCTTTTCACGTGACTCAGCTTTCCCCCAGGATATGCCTATAGAGCAGAAACAAATAAGCCTTTTATAGGATTTAAAGGATCTGTGTCACGAAATTTAACAAATTTCAAACAGCAGGAAGAGCCACCAAATTGAGTGAAACATAAAAATAATCACACAAAACATGAAAGACTGAAACGGATAAGATGTACAGCTTAACTATAGACATGCTTTCGTAGCAAAGAAAACCTTGGGTGTGAACAGTTAAAACAAATTCTTCGGGATGCACTAGTGGACCTTTTATTACACAAGATTCCGTCGGAAGCAATTCAAATCAATGAGCCGGCTGTCACTCAGCGGCGTAGTATAGATTACTTCCGATGGTAGGCGCTTCATATATGATTATTATACAGTACCGTTTTGCAGGTTTGTGGCCAAATGATGCCAGGTTGCAAGGCTTGAAAGGTCAGGGGATAGTACCGCAAAATTCCAAGAGCAGAGGCCCCTCGGAAGTAACTTCAAAAAATGTTGCCCTTACTAAATCCCGAAAGAAACGAAAAAAAAATTGTAGAGCCCTTTCCACCACCACCGCCCCACCATTCTGCTCGGTTATATCACGTGAGAATCATTGCTGCAGTTGCTTTTTCCGAATTTTTAAAGATTATTCACCATACGCGATCCCAGCGGGAGGGGGGTACGCCGGATTTTAATTGACGGAGATTGCCGAATGAGGGCAAAAACTAACTCCCAAAAATCCCTACTTAAAATCAAGCCAACCCCCCCAAAAAAAACTTGCCAAATCTTCCTACCCATAAAAATTAAAATCCCGGAATCGCAATTTTCAAACCCAAAACAATCCTCCATCATCAGACATCCCCGTCACTTGAAATCCGGAGTACCCCCAGGGGACGCGATAGTGGTGAATAGTGGTCTCTTGGGCCCGAAAGAAGCGAGCTCCAAAGAAAGTAACCAACGTTACGCAAACGAGCACTGGGAATAGTGGCTCATGTTAACAAAAACATATTTGAGGTGGGGTGCTCATTAGAGAGGAGGCGCTTATTGGAACAAGGGTGCAAAATCAAATCACTATGGTAAATAGCCTCCCCACAGACGTCCTTTGGGGTTCGTTTATCACGTATTCATTTCTCCCCCACGTGGAGGGGGGAAATGAATACGTCACATGACAAACGAACCCCAAAGGACGTCTGCTGGGAGACTATATGGTAAACGCGTGACAAAAAAGAGTATATACAGGTGAGAAGTGCTTCACTGATTTCGTGTTCTCCCACCTCCTAAGGTTGAGGGTGGTAATTCACCTCATACGTTGACCGTCAAGGCTTCGATTTTGTCACGGAATTTTCGTGAAGCATTTAGCAAATATTGTATCTTCGCGTAACCTCAAATTCTGAACCATGAGCGCCCATTTTTTTTTCTTTGAAGTAAACACACAAGTACCTTCATTAGCTTTAAACCTGATCCTGTCAGTTGGCTTTACCAGAAGCACTATCCCTGAAGTAATATTAATGTCTCTGAAGACACCATCATTGGTTTTATACTGCCACTTGCCGTACTTCTGCACGGGCGCCTCTGTGATAGCCAGCCCCACGCCTCCATTGTCAATATCCTCCACAAGAGGAGGGTTGTTTCTATCGGCGAGAGCCTCTCCAGCTTCCATTTTATTGAACAATTCATCTCCTTTATTCTCACGGATGTACTTATCTATGAGTCCTTGACTTGACTTGGTAAAGGTGGACACCTTTATGTTTTTTCCCTCTATGTCGCTCACATTCTGCGGAACTGGAGGAAATTGAGCAATTAAGTTCTTTACGTTGAGTACTGGGCGATCCTTCACTGGTCTTATTGTCAATTTCAACTTGGCTTCGCGTCCTCCATAAATGCACTCGCCTTCACCAGGCAAAAAACACTCTTCCCTCTAAAAGAACAAAACATAGGAAATCTAAAAACCTACAAATAATGTTTTCAGACGTCTAGTTTAATCACATCACTGCACTTGACCCTAAATGGGCGGATAAACATTTAAAAAGCGCGTCGTTTTCTATGGTCCCTATAGTTTCAAAACAATAAAGAGATAGCGTTGTCATAAAACGTGTTCAAACTTGCTACTGTAACCCACTGCTACTGGGGTACAAGCTCCCGTGAAAAAGTTCATATAAGCTAAGCACTAAGTCATTGTGAACTGGGTTGTGCATATTTATTTAATGGCTAAATCCGCAAGCGGGCAAGATGAATGGAATCTTGTGTTCTCATTGGCTAAATATACCCGAACGAGCAAGATAAGCCTGTACTGCCCGCTAGGGATTTCCCTCTTTAGTTCTCGTACTGTATTGTTCAGTTGTTCTAATTCATTCATTCAGTTGTTTTTCTGTTCTTTAATTTGTATTTGACTTGTTCCTTAACCCATATCCTTATCGTTAGGTCGTCACAAGCCTCGGATGAGTCGCAGCTTTCTAGCTTCCTTTCTTCCACCTCTGTTGGATGTGAACAAGTACTCTGCTAAACACTCGTAACAGTTCAAGAACACATCCCTGACCGAGTCTAATACACTCTCCAACCCCCAGCCCCCAACGTTGATTGTCAAAGCTTTCTTACAAACGAAAAGATATAAATGTTGCGATATCCCTGTTTCCAACCGGACGACTTAACTTACCCAATCGAAGAGGGCGTGCCCAAAAGTAGGAGCCTTGCACGCGGGTACAAGGGTGATATTCAAACGGCCAACAACATTCTGTGACGGGCGAACGACGCACATTGCGCGTGGGGTAATGAACGATGTCATGTTCACAACTTCCAGACTGCGTTGTGGCGTGCGACATTTCAACGTGACTGTAGAGGAAATAAATTTCAATGAGAACGTAATTACACCTATTGAGCAACCTCTTTAAAGAGAAACGCGATTTCTGAACAAAATAGCATTAGATCTTCATAACAGCAGAAGTGTAGATTCCATCACTAAATAAATTTAACAAGTAAAGACGTGACTGTACTCTGTTCTAAAGCACGAAAGAAGCGTAGGGGAAACATGAGACGTGTTCGAGTGTTTCTCCCCACGTCTTGAGTGCTCTAGCCGCTTCCTAAGTGATTTATAACAGACATGAGCAAAGTCAAGGCTTCTTTTACTGCATTTCTTTCTAATTCTCAAAACAAACTATTGGTAAATGGCGTGACAGCCATAGCAACGTGTTTATACCCTCATAAAGCACGCTTTTCAACTAATCAGAGTGCGCGTTGTATCTGAATTTTGTTTTAAAACAAACAAATAAATAAATAAATAAAGCGCACCCAAAACGTATTCTTCCGGAAAGAAATGACATTTTTTTTAAGGAGAGTAAAACCAGAGTACCTAGAGAAAATCTACGCGGAGCAAGGGAGAGAACCAACAGCTAACTCAAACTAGTCGATGCCTCGATTCGAACCCAAGCCATATTGGTGGGCGGCGAGTGCTTTAACCACTGACGAGTGCTCTAACAACCTGGGGGAGGAGCGCTGCGTGACGATACAAAAAATAAGACTTATCTACACGCTACTTACCACCTGCCGGGGGATCTGTCTTGGTTATGACCATTCCAATCTCTCTCCTTTCAAACCAGTCCATAGCCTCCTTCATTTTGTCTTTAAACATGCCAGGGATTCGACAAAATAGAGAATCCTGTAGTCTTAAATGAGTGCAGTTCATAGGTTTCTTGGTAACGTTAACGTAGCTGGAGAACTGCAGAGAACAAAAGCACTTTCACTCATTGCCATTACCATAGAATGGAGAGGGGATAACTGGCCTCATTTACATTGTTACGTGTCTTTACTCTTAGAGAAGAGATTTCGGTAGTTTCGTGGTGCTGAGGGCGTGTGTAATCACCAATTGACGTAATACAAAAGATTGAAAAGACACTGAGGGGGCGGATCTAGGGAGAGGGTGCAGGGGGTGCGCACCCCCCCCCCCCCCCCCCCCCCCCCCCCCCCCCCGCCCCCCTTCTCACCCCCCTATTATTTTTTTCAATTTTTTTTTTATACCACCCCCTGTTCACATATGTACTTTTCTCTTACGCTCCCCCCACAAAACCAAACAACAACCCCCCCCCCCCCCCCAACCCCCACCCCCCAGTGCGGGGGGGGGGTGTAAAAACCAATTGACGAAATACAAAAGAGTAAAAAGAACCGGGGGGGGGGGATCGAGGGAGGGGGTGGAGGGGGGGCGCCCCCCCCCCCCCCCCCCCGAGATGACCTGTAGCTTTCTAATACAACTGGTATTTTGCATTAAAATTCGTTTACGTCACCAGTCAGTTAAGCCATTCTGTAATGGTGCAACTCCTCCTAAGAAAAATCCTGGAAGCGCCCCTGCACTGAACCGATACCCACACCACTCTTAAATGAAGATATGATCGACGCAGTGGTTATTGCAATTTCAGCAATTGCAAATAAAACCCCAAAAAATTTTTCCGGGACTTTAACGGGATTCGAACCCATGGCCTCTGCGTTAGCGCTGCAGTGCTACAACACAAAAGCGAAACAACAATGGTTTCCGCAACACCAAGATATACCCCGATTTACCCGAAACTTTGAGCAAAACCACAGCTCCAAAACTGCAAAAAATCCACTTGCGGTTGCCGGCTTTCGCTCGAAAACACCTTTGCTTAAAGCAGCTTTGTCACAAGGATTATTGTTGTATTACGTCAATTAAGTCATCACTTTATGTCTTTACCCATACATAAAATACTTATGTGGATTTACAAAAAAGATATCAAACAAGTTTCATCAGGGAGCACTAACTATAACTTTTTTGGTTATTTTTGCACGCATATCATTAAAATATGGCCCAACCTTTTCAAGTTTCAATCCATGCCCATCCTTGCCATCCATTTGAAACAGATGACTGGAACTACCCTGGGTGCCAGAGACTTTTCTAGCGCGGTTTCCGGTTTCTGTGAAGTCTTTTCTCGCGGCTTCGGCCTAGGGCCGAAGATGTGTCGGCCTTCAGCCGACACCGAAAATTCCCGCCGCACGCGAGAAAAACCTCTGGTACCCAGAGTAGACTGGAACCAGTTTCAGAACATGAATATAGTCTTCAATAACAAAACTGGGCGATAAGTTTTGGAATTCAATTGATGGAAAGTTTTAGCTTGTTTAAAAAGGCCAGCAAATAGCGTGACAGAGCACTTTTAAGCTCCCTAATGGCTGATACCAGAGGTGGTCGCACGTAGCCCTACAATATTACTATACCCATGACTAACCCGACTTATCAGGGGGGTAATGAAGGTAGGTAGCTGTAACTATATAGTCAATGAGGAGGAAAGGGGTAGAAATTTGAATAGAATAGACCAATTTCGCTACATTAAAATTCACACTTAGCTATGAGGCTTAGGAGAATAAAACAAAAGAAATGTATTATTCAATGCTGAAGCTGAACCTCAAGATTGATTCTTCTGTTTTATTTCCCTACGCTTCGGAGCAAGGTATGAATTTCAATATATGGAAATTGGTCTATTGCTCATAAGGTGACGAAATGTGGATTTTTTTTTTCGAGCCACAGAAAAGAGTTTTGGCCCTTTGTTCTGTCTAATCACTAGTACAGTGGAACCTCGATATAACAAAGGGGCAAGTGACTGGCAAAATCATTGTTCACTATATCGACCTTCCTTTCCATGTATTTTACTGTTTCTGGGGTAATGAAAGACGTTCGTTATTCCGAGGACTTCGTTATATAGAGGTTCGTTATATCGAGGTTCCACTGTATAGCTTCTGTAACGGCGAATGGCGGCACATGTTATCCTTGTCGTTAGAAATAAGAACTAAACGTTTAATCATACACGAGGCTGTATGACCCAGAAGTATCTTACGAAACGATCATCACACATATCCATTAGCTACGACAAAAGAAATCCATAACAAGAGAAAAACTTAAACAAACGGCTTACAAAAACACTTGAGAAACTTGAAGAAAACTTCTTGAGGTTATTTCACGGTGGCCAGTGACTAGGCCCCGTGCGCATACTCCTAATAAAACAAGGGGAAAACCCGCTGGTCAGGATACCAGCTGTTACAGCTTCTGTCCCCTTAAACAGTAGAAAAGACAAAAACACTACCATTTTCTCCACAGATGAGTGATCCTCTCGAATGCGGATGAAATGCTCAATCACCCTAATGTCCAAACCTCTGGCACAATGGTGTAGAGAAGGTGGCACGGCCATTCCAACTGTTTTTCTAATTTGACTTTGGCCAGGAATGTTGACGCACTGTCCATGCGCAGTACGGTCAGGGGCGGATATGATGTCAAACGACACGAAACCATGGGCACAAGACGAGAGCCTTTGGAATAAAAAAAGACAGGTCATTCAATTGGTTGGGTACCAGAATACAGCCGGAATAAACACTCAGAATCTAAAACTTTCCACCAGAGTGAATGGTGCTGGAGTCTCTAAAAGTGGCTATAACTTTTTATTCTGTGGATAAAATCCTATAGTGTTACCATTCAAATGAAGCCTTTCTGGCAGTACTTTCACTGTGCACTATCTATTTTTCAGCATAAAAAAAACAGAATTTAGAAATTTTGTTGAATTTTGATTTTGGCGCCCTTTTGGCAGTGAAAAGGTTAAAATGGTTGACGATTATGTGTTGCGTTTGCTCTAATATCTGCAAAAGGCGCAGCTAGACTATCAACTCTCTTTGGATAAACGAAAAACTGCATGCCCTGAATCACAACAATTATAAGTTGTCTGATTCTAAAAAAAATCAAGGGACGCTACAGTCCCTGGCAATGACCATTCTTGGTTTCTACATACAAACACTGAGACTGAAACGCTGGCCACAAAAAACTAAATGGGATAGTTGTATGATGTTGGAACATAAAGCACTTAGCCGGCTAGACAATAAGGGGACAGAGTAAGTACCACCTTATTTGCTTATTTGCTTAGAAGGTACCGGACCGAACGACTGTAAACAAGGGCAAAAGATCTTATCCAACACTGCCTCTTAACTGACATTTCTGTCAAGCTTTTTAATGGACTGGCAAAGCGCTTGCTCGCAAGAATAAAGAGGAAGTCTTACGGTTGTGTTTTTTTTAGTCCCAAAATATTTATATTGACTAGAACTCTCATTGTGAAAGTGTTGCTCACGTTGGAACTGGAAGATGTTACTGGTAATAGGAGAAAATACTCATAGCAACTTGGTTTTCTTATTTAAAACGTTAAATCATAAGAACAAAATGTCGTTTTACCGATGAGGCAAAGCATTTGGCAAATAATGAATTCCTTGCCAGTTGAGCTTAAAGGTGCACATTGGAGTTCAATTATTCTGCGATGGTAAAAGGAAAATACCTTCCGTTCAACCAGAAAGTCCGTGTTGGGCAAGGGTGTTAGCTGTATAACGTCAACAATCCCAGATATACGTCGTGGATAATAATAAACCCGCAACCAAATCCGAGAAAGTTTAGTACTTTTCAGCCATAAAAACGTTTTGTTGTCCCCTGAAGCTCACCAGAAAAAATGAACAATAGTGGAAATGTTTAAAAATTGAGGTTATACGAAAGACATTGTGAATGTTTTGGTTAATACCAATAATAATGCTTAGGACCTTTTTCCGCGATATAAAAAACAGTATGCTGCCCCGCTATTGCTCGCCAGAAACTAATGGCGCGCGCGCGTTGCGTCATTAAGAGTTATTTTAACGTCATAAATGCACTTCGAAATTTGTTTTTTTTCTGCGCAGATCTACGCGGGATGTAAGTTAGCAAGAGAAGAAAACGGCTTTTTCATGAACAGAAAAGCACTATTTTTACTCATTGCGCTGGCGATATACTTGGAGGCACGTCTTCTGCTGTTTGCATGTAAACAAGATGGTGAGATATATTAGTATTTTATTGCACAATTCACTGGGTTAGTAGGTAGAAAATTTCAGAAAGGATTTTCCTTTCATTTTTAAACACGTTATTTCTTTACGAACTATTCTATTTTTTTATGTTTTGAGACTTATCTTGCATGATATTTATCATTTTTGGAAATCAAACAAAGCTTCGGTTATCATAGCTGTTACCTAATCTCTATAGGCGTGCACTCAAAGCTGTTCGATTTGACCTGAGGCCCGCGTATTCAATCTTCTCTCTTCGCGTACCGCCGCCCCATTATTAATACAGGCGCATTGAGTTCTAATTAACTTTTCGT